AAACCCAGTAATTACTCTATTTAAGTAAATATAATTTCTCTTTACATATGAAAATAGAATTTCGTATAGATTTTGCATTTTTAAAATAAACAAGAACTGTGTTTTAGATATTGATACACATGCATGAACTTTTACCTGTTAGCAGCTTTGGTTTTAGCAATTTGCTCTTCATGGGTCTTGTACCAATCTTCTAGTTCCTTCTTTGCTACCTTTAACATTTCTTCCTTTTTCCTTTCTTCCTCTTCATCTAGATAATATAAGAATTATTATACAAATGTTGATTTAACCAAATGACTCATTGGTAACAATAATAAATGAGTCATTCAAAGGTTATAGTAACAAAAATAATTATTTAAACAATGAATAAGATAGTGAAGTAAAATAATTGAAATTCTTGTTTTAATAACAAATGTAAGATTATCTTGAAATTCAAAAGACATCTTTTATTTCTAGTTATTGTTTTTGTGCTATCTGTATTACTACAAATTAGTACAAAGCACTTTAACTCTGTTTTAAACAAAAATTATAGGGATGTTAAATTTAAATATCTATTTACATATACATGATAGTTAGGAATTTATAACCTTTTTCAGTAAGTCTCTTTTTTTGTTCCTCACGCCATATTTTGATTTTTTCCGGTTCCTCTCTCTCCTGTCTGAAAACAGTAGTTGTGGTGGGTTCATCCATCAGGCCCTCAGTTTCATAAACTGCTGAACTTGGAATTTCTGTAAGCCAATTAAAATGTCTTTCAATAGATATTTTGAATGTGTCAGTTTTATATAATGAAGGTAGTATTTATTTTTAAATTTGATGGTGATTATTTCTGATAATTTTTGAATTCTCTTAAAAATGTTGTGTTATGGGAAATGCTAGTCCAAAGGTATGGGATTATTCTATTATGTAATACAAAATCTTCACTATATATGTTCAAATGAATAAAATATTTTTTTACCCTCGTTTTGAAACAGGTATACTTATTACAACATATTTATTCAATCTTATTATATAGTGACGTCGGTGGATGTTAAGATGACTTGAAAAAAAAATCAATACTCATGTAATACTATCTGTTTATATGGAAAGAAACTCGGCAAATTAATATAAAAAAGAAACACTGACCTGAATTAAAAAAATAGGAAATTGTTTTTACAGTGGTTAGCATATTTTTTTTGCAGGGACAACCTATAGAATGAACTGAATAAAGTACTGTTTATTATTACCAAATGATTAATGGGATCAGTAGAAAAGGTACATATGAATATTTTAAATATAAAATATTATGGGAAAACAAAAAAAAAGACTAAAAAATATATAAGTTTAAAAACTTTTAAATATGACAACTAGAAACGCAAAAACTGTATAGACAGTAGATCTAAAAATCGCAATTAATAGCAAAATTAAATCGAACTAATGTGTTATAAGAATAGAAATTAAAATTTACCAACAAAATCCTCAAAGCCGTTTGAAGCCGGAGCAATGATTGGGGGAGGAGCACTAGTTTCCAATTCGTCTTCGAGGCCGGCCAGCTGATTCTGTTCTCGTGCGAGGAACTCCGCTGCCGGGTCTACCTCTGGCTGAACGAAATTATCGCCGAAGTCATCCATTTCGAACAATAAATTGAAAATTAAAAATCTATCACAAAGAGAATCGTCGACGTCAAGCAAATATCGATAGAATAAATAAAACCATAGACATCTGACAGTGACATAAGAAATGACCAATCAATGAATCATCAATTTCCAGAAGGCAGAATCGTCACTTCCAACAAGGGCATAGTCTTTGTTAAAATTGTCTATGGATCTTGATCATGTGTCATTGTCATTTTGACTTTGACGTTTCTGACGTTTTCTATGAAGTTTCGTGTAAATATTTCTCATTCTCAATTCCTAACAATTTAATATATTGTTTATATATATTTGAGCTTTATCGACGACAGTCGTGTTCGTTTTATTTATTAGAAATCGCAACAAGAAGATTATAGCGCTATTCTTGTGATTAATAATATCTTATCTTGATTGCTTGCCGATAAATTATTTGATTGGCGACCTATTTCGTTTTGTGCATTGATAGTATTCGGCGATACATTTTGTATGCGTGAATAATGAACTTGTCGTTCGCGGGTTGTGGTTTTCTTGGTATATACCATGTTGGTGTTGCAGTGTGTTTTAAAAAATATGCCCCACATTTATTGTTAGGAAAAATATCCGGTGCCTCGTTTGGTGCTATATCCGCCTGTGCACTTCTTTGTGATATTCCTATAGGTATGTATAGACAACAATATTATTTCTGGTTATTTAAAAAGACTTTCAAAAACCACAGCTTGAAAAGAAAAAAGTTTTTAAACTAACCATTGGCTCTTAAAAAAATAAAATCGTTTCTGTTTTATCTTGTTTTAATTTACATAAATCGCAGAGAAATATACATGAGAGCATCATAAGTTAATTTAATAAAATAAAATCTCTTAGAGTAAAACTTTTAATTTGAAAAGTTTTTTATTTTTATTTTTATGTTTGGTAATTTCTAGAGGAAGTTTGAGAGTAGACAATGATAGAGAAATAAAATAAGGAGTAAAAGGTTATGAGGAGGAGGGATGAATCCCATGTTACAAGAAGAACCTTAGTTATGAGTGTACAGGGGCACACTAGTAGAGGCAGACCTAGAAATAGATGGATGGATTGTGCGAAAGGTGATATCATGAAGAATGGGGTGATGAGATGATGGTTATGTTGAGGACAAAAAACTGTTTCATCAACCGTACAGGAGTAAGATAAAGGGTAGAATATGATGATCTGGTAATTTCATCATATAAATATTTTATATAAAATATTATTTGGATGGTAACTAATATTATTTAGTGATATTATGATAAGAACTGTCTAAAATTGATAATAGTAGTAAATAAAGATTGTTTATAGGGGAGAGGACATTGCCTCTAGGTGTCAAATCTCAAGTGTTATGTAAAAATGTATTTTAGTTCCACACTCTGATAATTGAAAGCAAAAATTATTAAATCTATTGTTATCAAAGGTAAAACATTTTACAGACAAGAGATCATTTTCAATTTAACTGTTTAAACATTCATGAGACATTATCAAAAGTTAATTTAGAATAGCTTAACTGACATGTTATGAGGACCTGGTAAATGTCGAAACTAGTTGGTGTAGACTCTGGGTGATCTTGAGTTAAGCCATTCTTAATAAGTTTGGGCTGTTCGGCCTACCAACCTATCAAATACATTGGGGATTTGATTGTCAGATTTATATGTATAATCAGTGCAACAGGAAACACCTGTAATAGTATACTGCTGTAGTATACTATGATAAGAGGTTGTTTCTCAAATCATATCTGTGAGTATAGATTCAAGATTTAGTAGGTTTATAAATATGTAAAGATTATGGGTTTGATAATGTATTTACACTGAAAGTATTATGTTGTTTTTTGTATTATTTTTTTGTCTTCAAAATTAGCATCTACGTCATCTCTTTGTGACGGCACTTGGCATTAGCATAATTACATTAGCAAAATTCATGTTTGATATGGAAATTCAAATTAGAAGGTGGTTAAAGCTTAATTTAAATTTAGGAACTCCATCCAAAAAAACATGAATATAATCATTCATTAATATATTCCATGAAGCCCTGTACAGACCTTTGACGGGTCAAATGCCCTGCCCCAAAACCCTATACATGCCTACTACACCTAAAGTTTCGTTCTGTGTAGCAACTCATATAAGATATTTGAAGGAATTAATATCAGATTAGATTTTCATTAGTATTATTAAAGGTAAATTTGTCTATAATCTTATCAATATTCATTATAACATTTCATCATTTCTACAGGTGAAATAACTAGTGATGTGCTAAGGATAGTGGGTGAAGCGAGGGCTGGGTCTCTTGGTCCGTTTAGTCCGTCCTTCAACATCCAGAATGTGCTCCTGGCGAGCATGCAGAGGCATTTGCCTCCGGATGTGCACAAGCTAGTTAGTGGCAGGCTACACATCTCACTCACCAGGGTCTATGATGGCAAGAATGTCATCGTATCAGAATACCCTACTAGGGAGGACCTCTTGCAAGTAAGTCAATGAAAATCATGATGAAATGTATTTCCTACACATTTAACTATCGCAATACTGTTTTATTTCGCTTTGATTCTTTTGAGCTTATATGGAGGTTCGCACACTACTCAATTTTTAATTGTCAACATATTACTTGATTGGGCTGCGACAAAATGTTCAAATGTGTGTTAAATGGCAAAATGTGCGAAAAAATGTTCATACATAATTAAATGTCTAATTTTAATTTGATGCATGAATTAATACAAATAAAATATGCTGAAAAATCTTATGTCATATCTTTGTGACATAGCTGGCAACAAACAAGAAAAAAATTATGTTTTGCCAGGCGTTGCTGGCATCGTGTTTCGTGCCAGTGTTCAGTGGGATGCTACCGCCGAGGTTCCACGGTGTGCGATACATGGACGGTGGCTTCAGCGACAACCTGCCCGTGCTCGATGAGAATACCGTCACTGTCAGCCCCTTCTGTGGCGAGAGCGATATCTGCCCACGAGATCTCAGCTCGCAGCTGTTCCACGTCAGTATTTATAATAACCAGAAAATCATTTTAGACTCTAGGGTTGTAATGCTTTTACTTTAGTGATTTCATTTAACTGGATTTTATTTTGTTACATAACATATGACTTGCAACTCTTTTATGACTTAATAGCTTTCGCCCGCTACTATAACCGTGTGAAATAAAAAAAAAACAAAAGTGAGTTGCCTATGTGTTCTTCCAGACAATCCTCTACATCTATACCAAATGTAATTGAATTCCTTTCTGCCGTAAGGCTATAAACTCTAACAAACATCCATCCATCCATCTAAACTTTCGCATTTATCATATTAATATGATCATTAGTATTAGATGACCCTGGTTCATTAAAAAAGAAGGTCCTCGATGTGAATTTAAAATTATCAAGCAGTCGTCGAAAATCTATGAATGTCATGTTAAGAGATTTTGTCATGGCGCCAAGCTAATAAAGGCGTTTTTTTAGGTTAACCTTGCAAACACCAGTATCGAGCTATCGAAGCAGAACATTAATCGATTCGCGCGTATCCTATTTCCGCCTAAGCCGGAGGTGTTGAGCAACATGTGCAAGCAGGGCTTCGATGATGCACTTCGCTTTTTGCATAGGAATAACTTGATCTCTTGCACCCGCTGCCTCGCTGTGCAGACCACGTTTCAATTGCAAGATGTACTCGACGATAGCTTAGAATACGACCCCGAGTGTGAAGAATGTAAAACGCATAGACAGGTTGGTTGTATTAAAACTTCTATTTTTTATTCCCACAGACACATAAGACAATAGGCCAGTCATAACAGAAAATGACAGATGTAACAAAAAACAAAATATTGCTAATCATTTTGAAATGGAAATTCTAAATGTACAGTTGTGGAAATCACCGATGTTCTACTTTCAGAAAAAATGTCTTGTTTATGCAACGAGACGAGTTATGCCTTTTAAAAATAACCAATAAGGTAGCAGTAAGTTGCGCAAAAATATAAAAAAAGCTATAAGTCTCGTAATACTGACCGATATTTTTTTCGCGTAGATATTTAATTGTTGCGTTAAAGCTGTTGAAAAATTGGTGGAATGGTAGAACACCATCAGATTTCCCGACTGTACATAAATAGGTCATAACATATTAACCATAATTATCCGGTCGTTGATTATACGTGGTTATTGAAGGTTAAAGTGCTGAGTTACTGATTATGGTGTTAGGACGCGCTGGTGGACGACCTGCCGGACACGGTGATGACGATCTTCCAGAACGCGATCGAGTCCGCGAACAGCGGGCTGGCCAGCTGGCTGCTGCGCCGCCGCGGCATGCGCTGCATCTCGCTCATCACGCTGCCCTACAGGGTGCCCGTCGACATCCTCTACGCCACCTTCACCAAGTGAGTGCTGACCCCTAACATCCTCTATAACATAAGCGGCCTAACAGTACAAGATTCACGTAGTGAGTACATCTGTTTCATTTGCACTTTGTATTAATTTCTTATATGTTCAGAAGATTATAATACTTTAAAACATATCAAGAAAGTGATATATTATTCTCTTAACCCTTCTAATGTTTTGTACAAATCCAATAATTAAAACAAATATAACTTTTATCGTTTATTAAATGACTTCTATCGTGTATTAGCTCTTCCAATAAATAGGAAATAAACATTGATATGTCTGTTGTGTAACGTCATGTTGTGTACATTTTATCTTTCACTTGATACAGAAATCAAGTAATGTAGGCATTGGTTATAAAATTTATTTGTGATAATACAAACATGTTTGATTTCCTACAGTTTATAAATGTTTATTTTTCCATATTTATGATTGCCAATTACTTCATAGCCTCCTAAATGGTCTTTTCTGATCTTCCTATTATTTGCTTTAATTTTAGAGAATATGTGATTTAATTAACTAATTTAGAATCGTAATTCCACTTCTCAAAGCTATACTTTGACTTTGCATCCTGTATTTGATTGTTAGGGTTTAAGTCTGGTCAGATGTTAAATTTTCTTCTTTCTAGACTAAGATGTCTTATGATCCTAATAAGTTGCCACTTCAATTTAGTTTTTTTTTACTATTGATATTGCGATTTTTAAAAATTTATATTACACAATATTTATTATCTTAAGATCTGGTCCTTCGAGTCAGATAACATATTGCGGGTAACACGGAAAACAACGTGTGCGAACGTTATTTGAACTTTGTAGCACACAATATATTTCAAATTTTCGAATACAGGAAATAGTCAGGATGTTTATTTATGAATTGATCGACGGATAAAGCAATCGCTTTTGCGCATTGCATGTTTACATATGACCATCGTTGTATATTGTTTTTAACGATATTTCAACAGAGTTATATGACCTCGTCTGTTATCGTTTTTGTAATTTTTATAACATTTTAGACGGCAGATAAGTTGTGACGTCAACGGCGTATCGGAATTGTTCTCTTTATTTTAATGTAATTTTTTTCGGCTAACTAGAACTGTTACTAAATGCAATTGTGTCATGGGTTTACTGGTTGCTGTTGAATTTTTATTCAGGTTATCTTGTGTCCTATTTATACGATACATTTTTACATATAACAATTTGGCTGTATGCTAAAAGTGTTATGACAGATGTACTTGTATGTAGAATACATTGAAGTTTCCTTAGATAATGGTCAATGCGTGTTGAGTAATGTATGGGTTTTCTAAAATGCATCAAAATTTTCATGGCTTGCACAGCTATCATTTTTCTTTTTTCATTGGGATTTAAGTATATCATAGCAATCTCTGAAGCTTAGTTTTTCTATGGATATACTTTACTTATCTTGCTAAAGCAAGTCTAAAACATTGTTTCGTTTGTAGATAAATTCTGATTTAGTCCCCAACATTAATGAACCAAATAATTTTTACCACAGTTAAAGATTTTTTAATGAATAAATACGCATTTATGTCGCTAAACCTACAGATATAGTTTTATTTAAATTGCGTTTACCCATTTACTTGTGACAACCTGTATAATGATTACTCACAGATGAATTACCTTTCTAACGGTGAAGGAATTTTTAAAATCGGCCCAGTAGTTTTTACGTGAATCGAATACATACAAAATTAAAAAATACAAATCTTTCCTCTTTATAATATCAGTATACATAGGGTATTGGCGCTTTGGTGTCAGGCGCCTTGTGGGTTTCCATCAAGGGTCTCAAACATTGATCACTCCAGGGCCGTCTTAACCATGTTAGGCGACCGGGTGTAAATATTTGTTAGGCATCCCAGCGGCCGACCGCTAAGACCTCGTGCCCTGGCGCCTCTCACGCTATAACCCGGGATTAAAACGGCCCTGTCTCACGGCTTGTCTTCGCACTGTGTACATAAATATGAAAATATAATCGCTTTTTTAGTTATATCGGTGATAAAGTAGAGACGCACGCTCTGCAGTACGCGGTAATGGGCAATGTCCGCGTGCGTAGGCGCCGCTGTCTGCGACACAACAACGTTATGACTAGGTCAGTGATTGCTTTTTTCTTAATTGGGTCAACCGGTGAAGGTACACTTTGCTTCGAGGCTTGTTCTGCCATTTTTGTATTTTTAGGTTAGGATTTTGACGTTTAACATTTTGATATGTATTGTCTGTGTTGCCAGTGTTTGAATGTTTTGTTTACCATTGGTGGTGGTTTCTGATAGGTTGGAATAATATTTGTATTGGAGGAATTGCATTGTTGTTTGTAAAATGTCGTGTTTTTTTTTCAGATATGTCTAAAAACGACCAATGAATTAATTAAATAAATAATAGTTACCAAATTTAGCAAGAATTTGCATGGGCATGCATTTGATCATTATGAATTTTAATCCAGTAGTTAATTGCTAATAAGTTTAATTGCAGTATGCTTGTTTAGTGTGAGCAATAAAATACTTTGACAAATTATTATGTACAATGTAAACTATTTTATGTATCGTAGTCGTAATCAGTAGGATTATATAATGTATCTTCCCAGAGAAAACATAGACTATTTTGTTGTTAAATTTTATCACAAATGAAACTTTTATTATCATTTTCCTAATGCTGACGTTTATATGTTTCGATATTTACGTAAGGCTTCTAGAAGCTTCATTGTTTGCCCACCGACGTTTTCCGTTCGACCTTCGAATGTTATCGAAAAGTATAACCGACGCCCGATATCATATCCTTTTCCAAATTGCGAGCACTTCCCGTTTTGTATACATTAGATTTCAGTAATTTGTTTTTAAAACTCATCAACATTTGTTATGTAGAAAATGAAACAAAAAAAACACCAGCTCTCTAGAAAAGGGTAGTCGCACATTTTGTCATACCCTCACATTTATATCATCCCCTAGATTGTTCATTATCGCAAGTCACTGGCTTTTCATCATAGACTTAGAAACAAATTTTCATTGACATTTGCAAAGTCGGTTCTAAAAGATTCTTCTGGCTCTTTTTAGCCTCAACAATATTTTTATTATAGTTCCATCTAATAATAACTACGACTATTATACGTTGAAAGAAAGGATCTATGATAAGCAGTAGCAATTTTGGTAAAACTGTTTCTAAATTCTTTCGTTATCAATGACCACAAGTGGTCACCGTTCCGCGTTACCATACTATCTTGGTGACGTATATTTCAATGCGATACTTTGACCTTGTTTCGATATCCTAGTGGCCAACATGTTATCTTTTTAATAATTAATTAGATTAAAACTTAAGATTAGAATTAAATTAGAAAAAATTAAACAAATCATCTTTATTTAACGAATTTGGTGCCTCTTTTAATGACAAAACTCTTCAAGAGTATTTTAATATAGTCACAACCTTCAAGGTCCACCTGACCTTTAGTAAAGAAATACGCTCTTTCCTTTTCCTTAAATAACTACTAGGTTTATTGATTGATTTGAAAAATCGTTGGCCACGTGCCATTCCACAAGAAGAATGTGGGAAGAAGACTTAAATTCTACAATCTTAAATATTAAAATCTTTATTCTGTCACTTAGAACTTTATCGTTTCGATTTGTAGCTATATATTGGTACTCCTTTGTTGTGACAGATTCGTAACCAGTACGCCGAAGATGAGCAAATCCTTGTGGAGATTGAGCTGGAGCTTGCTGCGTCAGCTTCATGCGTTCGTCTACTCCGCACATGACCGCTCTGATGCAGCCGCGAGGATATATTACAAGCTCGCTCTAGAAGCTAAGAAGGACACAGAAGATTACCGACTGGACAGAAGGTCAGTTCTTGTACTCCTGATACTAGCAAGGTGAAATTTCGTCTAGGGAGCTGATGTTCAAGTTTCGTCACTATCTATACTATTATAATAAAGCGTAAACACACACTTCTTTGTTGCCTAATATATGAGCAATTACAGCATATTTTTAATAATCCTCTTTTTAATAAAAAGCCCTACACTTACGTCATGCTTTAGACTATATATTTTCACGCCAACTTAGGGTGTAAATAATTAGTAGTTTTTTTTGAGTACTCATTTGAATTATTCATATTTTCCTGTTAATATCCTATCAGAATATTATCTTACGTTATCAAATCTACTACTATTTTAAAAATTATTAATAAAATTATATAAGTACCTGGTAATAAAGCGTATCTATTAAAAGTCACATTTATCTACTAGGCAGATTTGATTTCTAACTGTTAGAATGGACTTTAGACATAGTTAATAACTTCTTTGTTTAGTGCATCTATAAAATGCTTGACTGTAGTACAAAGAAAACAATAAAGGAAATCTAGAAAGATCCCATCTACTTCTATTATTGATTTATTTACTAAGCATTCTGTGTGTTGATTTTTGTCCATCGACATTACGTGTACAAAAAAATCATGCTTATTTTCATTATTTTTGCGCCTGGTGTTCTGGCAGTCGTAACGCCTTTCTTGAATTAAGTTGGTATTTTTATTGTGTTAAATGCTCTTACAGTAGTAATTTGTGTAATTTGATTTAATTTATCTTCAATACTATTTACTTAAAGAACAAGATTTACCGCTACTTCAGTAGAAAGTTAATTATTATTTCGTGCATTTTTTTTTACTTTCCATACAACGTTATTTATAACGTCTTTAATCTGGGCCGTAACTTTTCTGCATATCGCGGATGTTTTGTAAAACACAATAAAAAACCTCTTTATCGAGTATATTGAAACATTGTTTAATATTTACAATACCATATTACGTAGAATTTGTACTGCGTATGAACTAACGCACGTCATTATTGCGTTGAAAATTGTTTTTTTTTCAAAACTGATAATTCGTGTCACTGGGTTACTATTATCACAGAGATTATTTAATATTTAGCCTTGAAGGGATTTAGAAAGTTTTACCATTATCTTATTTGCGTCAAATTAGAACGTAATTGTGTTAGGTAATGTTTACAAATTGATAAATGTTCAAATATTCTAATGCAAACACGGCGTACTTCCTAATAGTGAAACATTATCTTAATTTTGTGTTGTGGTGGATATCTTATAGTCCTTATTCCACTCCAGATTCGACAATAAATTTCTATCTATCATCCGTCATCTCAGTCGTCATCCCCTTCTCAATGTAGACACAAATTGCATAATTTTATATCCTAATTTTAGTCCCTTTCTTTTTCCATCATTTTCTTAAGAGGAAAGAATGGGAAGGGAAAGTGGATTTGACGGTGGAGGAAACGCATAGGAAGGGGAAATGTCCCCTTTTATGTGCATCTCCTCCGTCAATTAAGCATATGCAACGCATCTGCAATTGCGGATGTTTATGGGCAGCGGTCGCTCTGCATTTCGATGGATTTAGGTGGCCGTTTGCTCGTCTGCTACCTTGTATTACAAATGTATCTGCATCTATTAACCTGGATTTTATAAACGATTCCCTATATGCAATCAAATCGTTTAAAATAAAATCATATCCACGCATCAAGTTTTCGCTGTAAAGCAATAATTGTATGCGAATTTACACAGATAAAGTAACATTCATTACGGGGCGAGGTCATATGTCAGTTGTAGTAATTGGCGCTATCTCTGCGTGACGTCACAGCTTTGCTCTTTGTTAGGGGTCCTATCAACAAGTATTGAACAGTAAACATTGCCGGCTTGTGTATTCAAATCAAACTGAATTCAAAGTCGAACTTTTTGTTATATGCTAATTATTATAAATATTTGCCTTTTACAAAGCAACGAAAAAAGCACACTTTATTTTTTATACTTCTTTGTAAATAACAAATATATAGCAAGTGGTTGATAAGGAATTACAAAAAAGTATGTACTCTGAGTATATTAGCGTTGTAAATTGCGCAATTCACGTCATCGCGATAAATGTGTACAAGTTATTTATGTTTATATCAACAAAAAGATTTCATTAATTTGTACTTATGTGTATTACATACATATATGACTGCAGTTAATCAACAAAGTTTTTTTATACAATCTACATAAGTTTTGCGTCCGGTTACGACCTTGACTACGTATTTCATTATATTTAGATATCGTAGTTGATTGAACTTATAAGATAACTACATAATTAACGATATGTAATGCAATGATAAGAATGTAGTCGTTCGAGTAATTCACACTGGTCTAAATAATGATTTAATAATATGGGGCCGAGATGGGATCCTTGCGGGAACCAGTAATAGAAGCTTGATTTTAAAATGAATTAATAATAATTTACGTTCGATATGTCTTTTAGGGATCGATTTTAAATCAGAACAGCAAACGACAAATTTTAAAGAATCCTTTTGAAATAATTCCATGTAAATGCATGGGCTTTAACCAATTAAGGCAGTTTATATTATATATTTTATACATCTACTAAAGAGGCAAACAGGGTTCATAAGATTCATTTATCCGTGATTTCTATGTTTACCATATTTTTTAACATGAGAGCGGTAGTTAACACATTAAAAATAATCAATAAGTTAAAAACATCATGTTTAAACTATGGTTGTTGATTTTGACCTTCCTCGAGTTTATTAAACAACCTGAATATTTTTTAACTTGTATCTTGTCGGCAGACGTGCCAGTGAAGTGAGGGTGAGTTACGGGGACGTGGTAGCAGATTCCGACACTTTCGAGCACATCCTCAACGTGACTGCACACAATGACGCACTGCTTGCTTACTACTATCTGGATAGCGATAACAAGGTAAGAATACTGCAATAACATTATAAAATAAATTATGATAGGATCAAAGTCAGTGTTGATATTGCAATAATAGTACAAAAAAATCATCATAGGATCAAAATGATTGAATCATTGTTGATGTGTTTTAATACCGGAAGACATAAATGAGATAGATTTACGGTAGACATAATTGAGATAGATTTAATGAGATTATTTACTTTACGGAAATTAATAAAAAAATGTTTATAACTAAAGTTACGTGAATCGGAACGGTAATTAAATGTTTATTTTTACTTTAATATAAAATAAGATTGACTTGGTTGTCAGTAACATGGCTTTTTTATTATTTAATAATTTTATGCGGGCGAAGTCGCGAGTACCAGCTAGTGAGTTATATTATTCGCGATATTAGCAAATCCTATAGGATGGCAACACATACGTTATACGTTATCTGTGCCCAATGGCGGCCGTGACGCGGCATCGTCCGATATTCGCACCCGAGCGCGGGTTATCACATGTTGACATTGTTATTTTTTTTTTATTTCCCTCACACGCGTGCGACTAGGAACATGTGGCGGATACTTCCCTTTTTTGTTTTTAAATTCCCACGCTCTTAAAGTTGACGCTTATGCCTAGAATACGAATTTAGTTTTTTTTTCTTCTGTAACCAATCGACAAAAATACAGATTCTTGACTGCCAAGACAAAACGTCGTATAAAATTGTCTATTATTGTTAATGTAGAATTTTCTATAAATTGCTTCGGATAGACGACAGCAGGCGCTTTTATCGCAATGAATTTTATACTTATTTATCCTTTCTTTATTTTAACCATCTAACAAATGTGTACAAAGAGCATTGTTTAATCAATCACTGGGTCATCTATCCGAAGGTTGATAAGTATAGGAAGTAACTGCGTTTTAACCGCTGCAGCTGTGCGACACACATCTACACTATCTAATGCTGCAAATATATTAACATTAGGGTTGTCACTTGTAAATTTGCAAAATATATTAACATTAGGGTTGTCACTCGTAGGCAAATTTGCAAAATATTTATGTCTTGCCTGATTCATATAAATAACCACAAATGGTAGGCACTTCTGGTTAACAGCAATCAATATTCCTTTTATTACTGTCAGTTTCAGTATTAATTTCAATGATGAGTTGTTTGTTATTCTTGAACTTGTCAACCCTATTGAGCAACTTGTTGCTTTGTTTATTTGAATTCGTGATTGTTTTGTTTATATTGTTTTACAGTTACATTTTAAACAAATATTGACACAATTATCATTGTTCTGTCACCTAATTTTAATAGATCACTTATATTAAATAGCTTTCGCCCGCGACTTCGTCCGCGTGGAATAAAAAAAACAAAAGTGAATAGCCTATGTGTTCTTCCAGACTATGCTCTACATCTATCCCAAGTTTCATCGAAATCAGTTCAGCCGTTTGGGCTACAAACTCTAACAAACATTCATCCATTCATCCATCCATCCATCCATCCAAATAAACTTTCGCATTTATAATATTAGTATGAAGTATGATTAAGAAATAAGGGCCTGTCCCATCGAAATATCGGATTATGTTACCTTATCTGACAATGACGTCATTTTTAAAGCTAGCTGAGCCTCAGTCAGTCAGTGGTGGGACAGGCCCTAATAATCGCAAATGTTAGCACATTCTTGGCTTTATAAATTGATAGCCCAGTTTTAGTTAATTCCTATCTATTTCTTTTTTTATGTGTAGTTATTAGTTACCTTTAATAGTTCATTCTATGTAACAATTGTTTTTTTTTAACTTTTGAATTATAAATAAAACAATGAATTTAAAAATTACGAAATATTTATTATTGCGACATTAAATTTGTATACATTTATTGTCATAGTAGCTATCACACGTATTTATGTTTTGAAATGTTTCAAAGGTGCATTTAATTGGTTATTATTACCTACAGAGCGTGTTATTGTAGTACAAAGTTTAGTTTTAAATCATGCAGCTAATGTCCATATTGCGTTACTAATCAGTGTTGAGTCATTTGTCTTTTTGCATTTACAGAGGACGTTATGTTATAATAATTGGATTTTAATTATCGAAATAATACATAGATTAAAAAGCTAATCCATAGATTTACAGTATGCTATTCTATTTTCGATATTACGTATTCCCGCAATGTTTTTAGACGAAATCGTTGGTTGTTTATGGTTTTTTTTTTTTGTCATAAATTGTGAACTCAAAATACGATACGGTGCCTTCTCCAGGGAATTGAATATATAAAAGAGATTAGATATGACAACATCTAAAAAGACCAAATTAATAGTAACTGCCCCCCTTCTACATCTGTTGGCGACACCCAAGAACTTTTAACCTAACCTTAATAACCAAGCACGGAGAATAATTTAATGTTTAAGTAACCGGAATCAGTTTAAAGTAGCAGTAATGTTGTTTCAGATGAAGATGACGGAGATCTACGACGTGACGGACGCGGACACGGAGGCGGTGCAGTCGCCGACGGAGCGCGACCTCAACAAGCAGCTAGAGTTCGACAACGACTGGTCCTCGGATCTCATCGCTAACGAAGGTGAATATATATTCTGTCTCTTTCTATCCTATTGTATCTTCTATTTTATATCTCAATCTGTCTTTCTGTCTTTTTCGTACTAAATGACCTTGTAATCGCTAAATTGAGTGTTTCATTTAAATTCGACACTCAAAAATGTCAATCTCCAGAACCTACCGCAGAATTTCACTGCTGTTCTCTATATTGATAGACATTTCGTGATGAGTTTTTTTTTTTAATAATCCGAAGGATGAAAGTAGAAAAATTGTACACTGCCAGTTAATTATTAATTTTGATTTATAACAAAGACTAAATTATTAATGACTATATTCAAAACAAAAATAATTATATTTAACTGTTAACATGTTATCAGAAAACAATTTGTAAAAAGTATATAACAAAGTAATAATCTTATCTTTGTAAAAGTATGCAATTTTATCAGTGTAAACTTTCTTACTAAAATACGTAATATATTGCAATGGTATGAATCCTATGATATAAAAATCTGCACTAAGCTTTTTAGTGACTAACTCTGAGTGTAAACTAAAACAGAGTTGACAATTTCAGACGAACTCGATCTGGATAACTTGGATGACGATCTTCTTGATCGTAACATCTTCTCTGACCCTGAGAGCGAGTGGACCGCACAGAGGTCGTACTCCAGCTCCGACGGCGACCAGCCGGAGTCTGATAGAAGGATCGAGAACTTCACAGCATTTGAAGATAACTGACGTATTGATTGAGAGGTAGGATTATAATGAACACTTTTTAGAGTACCTGAGTATTTTCTCTGAGTTTTACTCTATGGCCAGCAAGACAGTAGAGTCTATAATTTATAGGAGAGGGGTACAGAGTTTAGGGGGGAGGTCCTGTTACAATACTCTAAGAGTTGTATTTTTTCGCCTTTGTGTTTTAATAGAAAATGTTTATGACAAATGTGGCCCTGTACTTTGACGTATATCTTGCCGTTAGATTTTATTCAAATAAGATCCTTAAGACCAAGGTATTTAATGTGATTATAAACTTCTAGTTTTGTATTTCATTGTAATTTAAAGTCGTAAAGCCTTACAAATAAACGCAGAATAAAGTTAAAACTTAGAAATAAACTGAATGTGCTGAGGAAATAAGAGTACAAAATTTGCTTATACTCGGTTTATTCCTAAGTGCTGTTAATAGCGATGGTTTAGGGCCAATTTTACTAATGACGTTATACAAGGCGATGAAAAGAATTGAAGATTTTAGTAAATTATTTACATGTTTTGTAACATTTTTTTTTTCAAAAAATATTGAATATAGTAAAAAAACAAAGTTTTCAAGCCCTTAAGCTTATATTGTCTATACGAATAAAGATAAAGTATGACAATAAAAATATATATGTGCAGTATTTTTATGTATTGCTTTATGATAATTATATTAGTATGTGTATTGAGTTTCCATTTGCACAATAACGTACAAATTTTGCTGTTAATATATGTAGAAAAATAAGAGGGATTATTGTAAAATTGTTTGGTCATAAAAAAATACAGATTAAAAAAATGTGTTATCTATATCTGTTTTTAAATGTTCTATGAAACTTCATGTTAGTTTTACTACATTTTACGAACTGTACTAAAGGCGGTATTTTCTGTAGTTTAGTTTTAATGCAATGTAAACTAAGTTTTTTAATGTATAACATTGCCACGTTTATGAGCAATTGAAACCAAATGCTAAAGTGCGCTTCCACTGACGCAATGAATTCCAACTTCTAATTAACCAATAAAAAACTCAGAGATTTTTCAGTAATCTTATACTACTTTGTACAAAGTTATAAAAGACAGTAGAATTTTTACATTTTTCATGAGTTTGTATTTTTATGTAAGTTATCCAGTGATGTAAATCATGATCTTATGACCAATAAGCTACTAAAAGTATCGGAAGATGGTGTCAGTGGAAACGTACCTTAACAGGATCCCTTAAAAGGATTAAAAATGCACAAAAAGCTGTTACAGTTTTGTAAAACAATACCAATGTTGCTTGTTACCAAAATATGTCAATTTTGCAATATTACGTTGTTTATAGTTTTAATGGGTTTTATAACAAGGTTATATAGTATTGTTTTTATATGGTCTCTTAGAGTTTTTTTATAATGACTGTGCAATTGAAGTGTGTAATGGCAACACTGCGTTTTTGATATTTATTTACAGGAACCAAAGTGAAGATGTTATTTTTGTATTACTCGTAATGTTGCCACATTACAGATTTATATATTAGACGAATGTCAAATATTATTAATAAATAAGTTATAAAAAAATTTATGTGTTTTATTTTATCGTTCAAGATTATCCTGATGTAGAACGAATTTATTACGCATTTAAGAAAACGAAATAATTTATTGCTTCAACTGCACCTTGATATGAGAATAGCAAGGATTTGAAAATCCCAATGACACTATTACAAATTTTTTTATAAAATTAACCCTTCGTTTGGAAAAAGCCAAGTGGCTGAGCTAATTATTTATGAGATTTCTTTTTACATAAATAGGAAAATAATTTAATATTTACTGGTTGTAATTTTACACAATTACGGAAAAAAACAATCTGTCAATGTCACTAATTCGAATTTCAAATCAAGCTGTCACATTAATTTTTAGAGATTTTATACTACAATTATCATTATTTATTAAATAATTATTAATTAAAATATCTACTGATATCGGACAGGTGGTGTTTTTGATGGTTGATTTTTTTATTATTTAACGTGATGGTGGGAAAAGGTGTAGATTCGAAGAGCAGTAGAATATTCCATCAATGCTATTTGAAGTGCTGCAAACTTCAGAATCTGACGCCGCTGAACAACGTCGTGCCGACGAACAATGGGAAAGTTTTGGACTTCTGTGTTGACAGGATCAAATATTCAGAATGGGCGCCAATTCTTAACGCACTCAGTTGCGATTTGAGTCTTCATTCCATTTCAATACGATGCCGGCAACAGGTTAAAACAGGTAAATTAAATAAATACATGACTGAATAACTGACCTTTTTTGATATTTCAAACACATAATATTTTACATCAGAATTTTTAAATCTGGCAATGGTTTTCATGTAGAATATAGTAGCAAAGTGTAACAAAAAGGCTTTTTTTTAAACAGTAGGGGAAAACAACACTGAAATTGTACTTTTACAAAAAAAAATCAATTTTATATATTTTAACTACACTCCTTTCAAATACGCCTGGAAATGGTCGGGAATTTATGAACACTGTAATTTCACTGTATTTTATTACATTAAAAATTATGCTTTACTTTTTTGTAATTTCTATGAAACTGTTATTTGAAATTTTTTAACAATGTTCAGTACTAGAGCACATAGACTGCGAGCGGCTGGCAAAGACAGTCACGAAACGTGCGGTCATTTTGACCAACTTCATGCTGACCAACCTTATGGAGGCGATCAACCAGATGTTGTCAGATACCACGCTCCTTTCTACGCTGCACCTCGAGGGCCTGCCACTCAAAATACCCTATTTAAATCCATTTTGCGAGGTAAAGCAATGTTGTCATACAAATGGATAACGTAAACCAAGAATTGATTGTATACGCTAACACTGGCTTTCAATTCCCTGAGAGTATCCCTGAATGTTGTTTCAAGATGTATCTAAGACTGTTTAGGTAATCGCAAACGACTCGAGGCATTTGAAAACCGCAGTGACGTACCGTTTAAAATATCTTCTCGTATTTCTTACATGTATCATTAATAAGGAAATATTGGTTGCGATAATACATTTTTTACACGAACACTCTGTCTAAATAGCTATAAAGTTACAATACATTTGTTTGATGTCCAGGCCGTGTTATCCAATAATTCCCTCCAACACCTGTACTTGCCGCGGTGCCTGATCGGCGACGCAGGCTGCTTGGCTGTGTGCAAGGCGGTGCGCTGTTTGCCCAACATGCTCACATTGGACCTATCGGGATGTGATATCACACCACAAGGCGCCAGTTACTTGGCCGATTTGTTGAAAGTTAGTTCAACATCAGTTGCAATTAGAAAATGACAAACGTATAAATTCAAAAACTTCATAAGACTGTATACCATGATCTAGTTAATTTTCCATTACTTTTTAATTTGAACAATTCGAATTCCGACTTTCATCTAACCGCTTAAATAGCAGTACTACTAGTTTGGCCGATGTTTATGTAACATACAAGTACTAAGGTATTTGTTTCAGTATCAGAAGATCCACCGGTACAGCGAGAATTGGGTACAGACTCTGCGGTACCGACTACCGCAGCTGGACACGATGGCGGGGCTGCGCCGCCTCACGCTGTGCGGCAACACGCAGCTCACAGACCGGGGCTTCGCCACGCTCGCTGACGTGCTCGCCGATGACTTGTGGATCAAAGGTACTTTGAAGTTATATTTGTTCATATTAAAATTCTTAGAAATTATATGGCTCTTGATACCAGTTTATTCAAAATTGTACTTCTAAACTTTTTTGTAATATTCAATTAAACAAGACGAACAATTGAATACCTTTTTTTGTTTATGGGCTTCGCCAAGGGAAGGAGTAGGAGACCTAGCTGCCCCTATATAATCATTTAATGCAAAATAGATATACAACAACTATAAATAACACCATAACAATGATTGAAGACCAAGCCTAGATTTTCTGCAGATTCTCTAGCGTCCGGTATGCAATATTCTGCGTATACTTGTGTAGCGCTGGACGTCCAGAACTGTGGTCTGAGTGAGCAGAGTGGGCTAGTTGCGCTGCGCATGCTGCAGTCCAACACGACGCTGGTGGTGCTGGACGTGCGCCACAATGAGCAGCTTGGCGCCGACTGCGCCGCCAAACTGCGCGCTGCGCTGCGCAACAACGAGCGGAATGCGGGGGACGGGGGGCAGGTAGCCAACAAACACATTCCCTACAATGCTTAGGTACTTTACTATAGCTCGGATTTTCGCATAAGACTGATCAGGAGATATACGTTTTTCTCTTCCTCTAAGCCCATACAGGCGGGACGCAGAAGAATAAGGACTGCGAACACATAAGACCCACTTTTTTTTTAAATAATATAAGGTGGCAAACGATCAAACGGCCACCTGAATCCACCGAAATGGAAAGCGACCGCTGCCCATAGACATCCGTAATTGCAGATGCGTTGCCTACCCTAAATTGACGGAGGAGGAGACGCACATAAAGAGGACATTTCCCCTTCCTATGCGTCTCCTCCACCGTCAAATCCACTTTTCCTTCCTATCCTTTCCTCTTAAGGAAAGGCTGGAAAGGGAAAGGGACTAAAATTAGACCTCCGGCACCACACTCATCAGAGGAAACACGGAATTGCTTCCACTTGACGCCTGTTATCTGTGTGGTCGTGGTATAGCGTGGTCGGGCGAGCCGGCAATTTCGTGCGAAGATGTTAAAGCGGGTTTTACCACTGTTTAAAAGTTCGTTGACCGTTAGCACATAAACACTAGCCTTCTTACTTCATCAATGGCTTATTTTAACTATTCAAGTAGTCCACAAAATACTCAACTACGGTAGTAGAATATCTGGACTGCGACACATATCTTAGTCTACCCATTCCAACCGTATTTGAATTACTTCTCGCTTTCCTTTGCAGTACTCGTGGTTAGCCAGTAATTCCAGCGATGGAAGATCAATTAAATCAGTAGCAAATAAGTGAGTATTTACTTATATAGACAATTAATTTAAAGCGTTACGAGTACATACAATCTATAATATGTTTGGGAGTTCACAGCAACCGGTCGACTTTGCAGTGAACATGAGTTGCTTAAACGATGTGTTAGTAAAGTTGTCGATATAATGAGTTAATACCTTTGTTACAGGAATGGCATGGTGAAGGACCGTCCGAGGACCGATGTGTCCAACGTACGGAATATTCCTAATAAATATAATAACAAAACAAATACAGTGAAGAAAGAGAAGTAAGTAAAGTTGTTAGCGTTCTCTTCTTAACTCATATTTAATTTATGGAATTCAAAAATTGTAATAACACTAAAACGTGATGTTTATATTAGAGAATACTCGGAAATTCTGGAAGAGCAGTTACAAGAGGAGATCTCTCACCGGCAGCAGCTTGAAGAGCTGAACCTGCAGCTGGTCAGTCAGATGAAACAGCTGAAGCAGCACCAGGTGCGCCTGTGGGCCAACGCAGCTAACTCCTCAGGTAACTTGCACATCATGACAATTTTTCTCTTTTCTAAAGAATAAAGTACTAGACCTTGAAAGAAATAAGTTCCACGCCGTTTTGTATCGTCAGATTCTGATATTGTATGGAATTGCCACCCACTGTTGCGTCTATGCGGGATTCGTTATAGCTAAACCTCAAATAAAAAACAGTATAGCTGTATTTTTTGTATTGCAATCTATCAATAATTTGAAAATAAACTAGAGAAAGTTAACGTCACACGCACACTATTAGTCTTCCTTTCCCATCTGTTAACTGAATACGTCGTTCTCGTTCCTCTTCCGCTTTTTGTACTTACGTTCCGTTTCACATTATCCTCTTAAGCTCCAAACCTTTTGAGGAAGGGTAAAGGGGTTGAGAGGGTGTAATGGCGGGAGAGCTAACGTTGGCTGCACTCAGGGTCTGAGCAGTCGCTGGCGCCGAGCTCGGTGTCGGGCGAGCTGTCCAGCAGCTCAGGCTCGTCGCTGTCGGTGCCCATCGAGCAGAGCACGCTCGCCTACATACAGCAGGCCTTCAAGGATATATACGCCTTCATCAAGAACAACCAGTGCCATGGGTCAGTTTATAGCTAGCAAACACCTTCACCAAACACAATACCCAAATTTTACTATTATACTTGTGTGAAGTCAACAAATGATGATGAGATTAGATATGTTCAAACATAGTTTATTTTAGTTTAGACTTAAGGGCTTTCCCCCCACAGACTGATAGAGGTTTAAATAGGTTAAAAATGACATCACTGTAAGATAAGGGAACAAACTCTGATCATCACATATTTTAAGCGTTGGATTTTTATCAGACAATTTACATATTGGTGGGACAGGCCCTTAGTGTACAAAATCTACTAGATTTGTTCAAATAAACTATAGATGTTAGGTAAAAGTGTATATTTAGATATAAAAGATCAGGTAATTTCGATATGTAATGTGCTATCCTGGTGTCAGGCAATGCGTTCTCGAGACATCTCAGATAGCGGAGGTGGCGGAGGCGGAGGCGGAGGGCGAGCGGCCGCCGCTGCCGCCGCTACCACCCAAGAAGGCGCAGAGCTCGCACGCCAAGCTCACTGAAAGCGCCAGAGCCAAGAAGATGACCAAGTCTGCGCACTTGCTGGGCGACTCGCACTTCCTCAGGGAAGGACTGGATGCGGTAGGCTTCTTGCAATATACGAGAAATTTAACGAAGAATTATTAATTATAAGGTTAATTAATATGTTAGACGTAATACATTTGATCTTTTGTTTTCAGGCCGTTTGTCCGAACATGTTCGAGAGGCAGATGGGAGACACGCGAGAAGTTTATTCAGACGACAAGGACGCGCTAGATGACAATGTGGCGACGCAGAAGAAGGGGAAGAAGGTAAAAATATATTAATTAATAGGTAACCAAGTCTCCAAGATGCAATTGTCTCATTTAGCTTCTGTTCTTAATTTTGTATGTGAATGGATGGACTAATTTTTTTTTAAAAGAGTGTGAGCAACCCCACATTATTCAAATATCTTGGACATACCGAACATCAGAGGAACTATTGATGTGTTGCTGGTCTTAAATATTAATCACTAGCTTTCGCCCGCAATTTCGTTCGAGTGGAAATAAAAAAAAAACAAAAGCGAGTAGCCTATGTGTTCTTCCAAACTAACCTCTACATCTATACCAAGTTTCATCAAAATCGGTTTAGCCGTTTAAGCTACAAACTCTAACAAACATCCATCTATCCATCTAAGCTTTCGCATTTATAATATTAGTAAGATTTACCTTACAAGCAGACTTGCTTTAAGTTGAATAGCTTAAAACTAAATAGTTAAATATGTGAAGGATGTTATTTTTGGACTGGACTATAATTCTTACATTCTGTGTATTTAATATATGACTACGCAGGAGCGCAGCGCAGGCAGCAGTGTGGTGAGTGTGGTGAGTGTGGTGAGCGACTCGTCGGACACGCTGGTGTGCTCGCCGCGCGGCCGCCACGCGCCCAACCCGCGCGACGCTCTCGCCTCCTCCGACAGCGACTGACTCTCGCCACACTAACACTTTTGTACCACACTTTTACCAAGATTAAAATGCCTTTTCATACAAATCTTTGTTTTCATTCCACCCTACCATATACAACATATCACTTAGTCACTGTTTAAAGATAAAAAACTGGAATTTTATACCACATTTATTTTATTTTATATTATCTTTTTTATGTAACATATACTACAATTTAAAACTATTTTCTCTGTTAAGCTTTCTCATTTAGTTCCACATTTTTCTGTTGAAGTTTAGCAATCATTAACTTCTCCTTGGCTTCCATTCTTGCTTGCTTCTCCTTCTTCTTCTGTTCTTTCTCTCGCTTGGCCAACATCTCTTGGAACCTTTCATCTCTCGGGTCCAGAGTGAAGCCAAAGTGTCTTCTAACTTCTTCAACAAGGCGCTCCTTTTTGAGCTGAAATAGATATTTGTTTTAATTTAATCTACCCTGTGATATCTATCTTGCTTAGGTAACCATAGGCAACCAATAAATCTGATCTTTTTTTTTATATTATAAGGTGGCAAATGAACAAGCGGCCACCTGAATCCACCAAAATGGAAAGAAACCGCTGCCCAAACATTCTCAATTGCAAATGTGTTGCTTGTTGATAATTGACAGAGGAGGACACGCACATACAGAGGACATTTCCCCTTCCTATGCATCTCCACCACCGTCAAATCCACTTTTCCTTCCCATCCCTTCCTTTTAAGAAAAGGGGGAAAGGGAAACAGACTAAAATTAGGCCTCTGGCACCAAACTAAATAATTAAAAAATCCTTTAAATTTAAATATGAGAAACCAATGCCTACCTTAGCAGCTTGTACTTCTGCTGTTTTCTTGGCAATCTTAGCATTGAGCTCCTTCTTCCATTGATCTAATTTATGAAATTTGGCAGCAACTTCTTTATCCCTCTCTTCAATTCTAGCTTGCTCTTCTTTCCTTCTAACCGCCGCAGCATCAATCATTTCCCTGATTGTAAAAGGATATGCTACAGCTTCATATTCCTGTTTCTCTTGAATTTCAGCCTTCGTTGGCCAACATAGACCTGATGAAATGGATAGATTTTAATGTTGAGAAGTAACTTGAACGCATGAGATTTTAGACTGTACTTGTTGTTACTAGAACTCGTTGGATAATTGATATTCTATCAAGATACATGTTAACAGATAGTGAAAACCCCAGTAATTCTAGTCTTGGTCTAATTTGCTATAATAAATAAAACACTTACTTGGATTAACACCACTTGTAACACCATATATGCCGTACATTTTACGATTGTATTTTACGGTAAGGTGAGCCGTAGATTTCGGTGTTACGTATGGTCTTCTGCCATTTACAAGATTGTAATGAGCCGGTGAAAGCTTCGACTTGTTCCGTTTCTTCTCAATTTCAGCTTCTCTTGCTTGGACATCATCCGTATCGTCTATTAAAACTTGCTCGTTTTGTTCAATTTCCGGAGACGTTGTGGCATATTTACGAAGCGATGCTAACAGATTGCACCTAATGAAATTCGATCTTATAGGTAAGTTCATTTTATACCAATCTGTGCGAGATTTTTTAGTCACAACAATAATATCAGTATTTCAGTATGTTACAAAGTACTCTGTGAATAATATAGAGGTTATGAATTACAAAAACAAAATACTTTTTGATGGTTCTTGACAGTAGAATGACATTGACAATAGCGGTGAGTATCATAGACAATTTTTTGAATTGATCAGGCTTTTTTATGTCAAGTTGACTTTATAATTCTTTAAGCTCCAAAAAAATTACTTGAAACAGAACATTGTTTTTAAATATCATCCAATTCTTTTGACAATTGACATTTATTTGACAGCTGACAGCGCGAACATAAATAATCCGCAAGTTTATTTTCATAAGTTTAAATTAATGTTAATATACTGTCTATCATCATATTTCGATAATGACCAGACACGCCAGAAATTGCACAGCTGGAGCTGTATATACATATCATGAAAAGAAGAAAGACGCGGCGGCCTCAGGGTATGGTACACAAAGCGAAAGAGTTGGTAAGGATTCTGTAAAGAGCTTCGATTGTTGCAGCTTAACTTTGCAGCCTTGCAGAAACCCTGTAGTTACGAAAGAAGGTTACTTATTTGACAAAGAAGCTATCTTGGAATACATAATTGCCAAGAAAACAGAATACACAAGAAAACTAAAACAGTACGAGAAGCAACTTAAAAAAGATGAAGCCGAGAAAAAAGAGCTAGCAGACGCTGAGAAAGAAGCGAATTTGATTAAATTTATGAGTAGAGAGAAAAACATTTCTAATTCTGGTTCAAGTAGTCAACCATCTACATCAAGTTCAGTCTCTAATCTGGCGAATGGCAAACACAAGGAGTTGCCCAGTTTCTGGGTGCCTTCACAGTTACCTGATGCGAAATTATCAAAAGTAGAGAAACCTGACCCCACTGTATACTGCCCTATTAGTGGAAAACCACTTAAAATGAAAGATTTAATAGAAGTGAATTGGACTCTAGTAAAAGACCCAGATGACAAGAAATCATTAATAGCTAAAGAAAACAGATACATGTGTCCTGTAACACATGATATATTAAGTAATGCTGTGCCTTGTGCTATTATCAGGTTGTTTATATTAATTCATAACCCTATTCCCCTTTACTTACATTTTATATTAAAAATAATTAAACTACCAGCTGTGGTATTTCATTATTTAAAAAAAAAACAAAAGTCAAGCTGTAGAGTTAAAATAACTGCCTTTTGTATCCAACTGTTTTACAAGAGCTTCTTATAGTAGAAGTTCTTTACTATTAGTACAAGTTTTGGAATAATAGTAGTCTATTTCTAATAATGTTAGTAAACTTGCATGTTTATATTTATAGACATATTTACAAATTTTCTATAATAATGTTATATGGAGGAAATACTTCTTTGGCATTATATAAGCTCTCAACTACTGAACTTATTACAAAGTTCTTTCAACTTTAGAAATCTACACTATTACTGAAAAACATAAACTATATATTATTTTTCAAAGGGTAGGGTATAACTTATATGGTAGGATCGCTAGTGTAAAAATTTGTTTGGTCAATTTTTTACAGGACTACAGGACATGTTGTCACAATGGAGTGTGTGGAGAAGATAATAAAAAAAGACTGGTTACACCCGCTTACTGGTGATAAATTGAAAGAAAAAGACATTATACCCATGCAGAGAGGTGGTACGGGCTATGCACTTACTAATCAAAACCTTGAAGGGAAGAATGAAAGACCGGTTCTACAAGCTTAATAGCTTAGTTACTTTGGTATAGCTAAAAGTTCACTTTAGAATGTGAAAATATTTCTGCTTAGTTTTTAAGACTTGGTTGAATTTGATGGAAATTAAAAATTATGATTTGTCTATGGATTTATTTTGAAACATTTCAGTGTTTAATTTACAAACATATTTAATTTTCATAAGTACATTATTATGAAGGTAGAATTGTTTAGATTGGTTGTAATTTCTCATTTTTATTAATCAACTATTAATTGTAAATAAAGCATATTTAAAATAATTTAACATCTCTTATTTCCTTTCCTTGTAATTGTTACCTTCCTCCATTATGCGTACAGTAACATTTGACAGTTCTATTTGATTCAGTTCATGTTTTAGAAACTTATCAGGGAAGAATTAACTATGTTTTATTTAATTATCATTGTTCATGTTCACTTATCAAATACATATACATGCATGAAATAAAAATATTTTTAATTGTAATACAAATACTTTACTTAACTTTAATTTAATACAAGTCCAGTTGAAAATCAACTGCATTGTTTCTAATTTCAGTCTCTGGATATGATAGACATTCGCTGTCTAAAGACTCCAAAAAATTTAATACTGATTGGTTTTGATTCTCATGATTTTCCCAATCATTTTCATTTGCAACATTTTTATTTACATTGTCATTGATCAAATGTAATAGCGCCGGTTCAATTAATGTATTTGATTTGATTTCATTTTCAGTTTGTTCCGTTACACTCATAGGCCAGTCTTTGTTAACATAATCTATATTATTGTCGCTTACTTTTGCCTGTAAATCTATACAATCACTAAATATTGTACTTATATTTGTATTTAATGATTCACTTGAATGTACTTCGTTCAGTTTAGTTTCTATTCCGCGGGGTTTTATTACTTGCACTTCATATTTTGGTATTTTCTCTGGATCAATTTGGAATTTGCAAAACACAGTCGATGATTGTTTGATGGGAGATGATCGTATGTCGAAATGTGCGCTGTGAAATTGAACATGATTGGGTTTTTTTAACGGCTCATTTAAATTTTTAAGATTCTTATTAACTATTGGTTCATTAATTAATTCATTTGGTATTTGAGGTACATTTGTTGCTTGTAAATCTTCGTTTTCTGTAAATGTTATAAGATCATCCATTTTTAATTCAATATCAGTGTCATATTCTGATTCTATTTTTATTTTCTTTGCATTTGTTGTTTGTGATTTTTGCTTCCAGTTTCTTTTAGAGACTGTAGGCCATTTCACGACTGAATTAATTCGTGCACAATCATCGATTTTGTTCTCATTATTAGGCTCTTCATTTTGTTTGGACCAAATCTGTGAGGTTTTGCCCAAATCCGAATTAAACTGATTGGTTTTTGCTGGATTATGTCTACAATGTCCCTCTTTGTCCTTTACACAACTCAATGCGTCTATATTGAGATTGTACTTCCCAGGGTTCATGCCAAATAATCTAGAAGTAATTAAAAATATTAAATAATACGTCAAATCTGAACCAATACCATACAAAATAATTTAGCTATCAACAATAATATTTTTGAATATTTAAAACTCAAAAGTACATACTTAAAAGTCTATTCATTATTCAAATTTCCTAGTTTTTAATATTTACCTGCCAATATCATCATTAATATTGCACAATTTGCCTTCATTACCGTCCACTTTCTTCAATAAGCATGGCAGAAGAGATTTGAACTTTACTATTAACTGCTCCAGCTGTTGTATGAAGATATTAGCTCGGTCTTCTTCTGAACCACTCTTGATGATGGCCAGCAGACAGTGGAACAGGTTAGAGTGGACTTTAGCTGGTATATGAGTGGGATGATTCTCATAATGTCTCTGCAGACGGTACAAACTACTGAATTCCTGAAAATTCAACTTTACTAAAATTTTTCTATGATATTTACAATATTTAACAGTAACAGCCCACAGTATCGTTGAACACACAGAAGACAGGCGGGAAGTGGAAGTAATTCCGCATTTCACTTTCCTATCCTATTCTTTTCTTATAAAGATATGATGACAAGAGGAATTGGATTAGCCTGAAGATGAGATGCATAGGGAGAGGAATATCCTCTTTTTGGGCGTTGCCTTAATCCAAAACGCATCACGAAATGCGAATGTCTATGAGCAATAGTCGCTTCGCCACTTCCGCGAATTCAGATGGCCACTTCCTGGTTTGCAAAATTGTAAAAAAATTACGTTAAGATGTGTGTTTATTATATTTCCATAAGTGTTGGATATGATTCAGTTAAGTGAAACACTTAAACAATTCCTTTAGTGCAGTTTTTTACTAAGTATAGTAAAAAGTAAGTGAACTTACAGAGGAGCATTGGAAGCAAGACACAATAGTTCCATTCTTCTTCTTCTGCTTCTGTGGTGTCTCATCTTCTTCGGGTGAATGGTGCTTTGGCAATTTGACTTTTCTACCGCTTCTTGTGACTTTTGTCTATAAAGTAGAAGAATCAAATTTAATAACCATTTACTTTAAATCTTACTATTATAAATGCGAACGTTTAGATGGATTGATGTAAGAACACATAGATTAGTAATTTAGTAACTTTTAATTTCGCGCAGAAGTCGCGGGCGATAGCTTGTATGGTAAATTGTAAGTTTAGAGATTTTTACCTCTAAAATGACAGGTTGTATATCAGATGGTCCGTCTTGGATTTCCTGAGTAACAATGGGTTTCAATTCTTTCTTTTCTACCTTCTTTTTCAATGCATCTTCAATTTCCTTTTTTGTATCCGTTTTGTTCTGTGTATATATTAAGTTTTTCTTACCGACTAGTGTCAAATCTTTTGGTGATAACACTCTGGAAGAAAAACAAATTAATTTTATACTACAGTCATTAAGTTTTCTTATAAACATTAGAAATTAAAAGTAAGCAAAACAAATTACTAATCAAATTCATTTTTTGAGTAAGATTGGATTAAAAATGAAATTAGATGTACCATTCCACTCTTTAATATTTACAACTATAATCAATTATGATTATTATCTTCTGTAATTATTAAAACTACCCTCAATTATAATTAAACTAAAGGCATAAAAATACAAGAGACAAAATCAATAACTCAGATATTCAAACCAAGTGTTGATGAACAGTTAGGCTAATTTGCTGTATTTATCTGGAGGTTAAAACACTGAATTTTTTTAATACATTTCATAAACATACTTGTAAATATATCTTGTATTAGTTACTGGATCATAAGCGGGTTCCTTTGGTGTGTTCTCGGGCTTGTTAAATATCTTCAAAGCATGATTTACTATTTTCTTCTGTTCATCACTTAATTCATTGAGACTGTAAAATATAGAGAAAACACTGTATTAAAAAATAAAAACTAGAGTACTAGATGGTGAATTATTGTTGATAATGAAACTATATTTGTAATATATGACTTAAATAACTTTTTTCCACTGTTAAATGACTAGGAAATCTTAAAAGTTATAGATACACTTTTATATATTATTGGATATTGCTAGATATAGAATCTAACCGTAACTACTAAGAAGTTGTGTTCAACTAGTTATATGATGATTATTGTAATAAATGTATATTATTTGTAAATACCTATGGTATGAATCTCCAAGTTTTATTAACTGCACAGAAGTATGTTTGTTTATGTTTTGAGCACTGAAAAATAAAATTTATGTTAAAACAATATTAAATACAACCCATGGTAAAAGAAAACCTGACATGATAGATTGTCAGTGCCTTCTTTATTACATTACCCTTTATAAATCATCATCATCCACTTGCCCTTATCCCTTATGGAGGGTCGGCACAGTATGTGCTGCTCTTCCATACATCTCTATCGGTCGTCATATCTGAATCCACTCCTTTCTTAACCATATCTTCCTTCACACAATCCATCCATACTTTCTTCGGTCTTCCTCTTCCTTTGTAGCCATCCACATTCAATCTCAACACTTTCTGGTTTATGTCCCCATCATTTCGTCGCATAATATGTCCATACCACGCTAACCTTTTGCTTCTCAATTTCTCCACCACTGGCGCTACTTTCAAACTTCCTCTAATGTACACATTCTTAACTTTATCCAATCTTGTCCCCTTACCCTTTATAAATATGTGAAGAAATTATGGTCAGGAATGTAAAATTTAACTTTAACTTACTTTTCTTTTGGTTTAATCTTTGGCAACTTCTTTGTTTGTAGCGATGTTGTTGTACTGTTTGGGATGTTTTTTAATTTCACGATCTTCCTATTCGGATCAAATTTAGGAACGGTATTAATAATACTTGTTGCGTTTTGAGTAACAATAGTGGGTTTAAGCACGACGTTATTCACTGGTCTAACATATTGTTTAGTTTTATCATTCTTAGGTACGAGAAAACTAGCCAGTTTTAAATTGTTACCGAATATGGTGCTATCGACTTTCTTCAGTATTCTTGGCTTATGCTCCACATTTTCATCGAGGTTAGTTGCTATTTTGCCGCTATTTTCATAAAAACTTTTCAAGTTATTACTGGCAGGATTTTGTACGATTTCATTGTTTTGCGGTACGATAAACGATTTAACCTGTAATTGATAAAAGTTCGAATCGAGTTAATATTATAAATAAATAAAACAAATAAGATATACACACTTCAAGTACCTGATTAAAGTTGGGATTCTGTATCAGGTAAACAGGCATATATTGACATGAGTTGATAACAATATTCTCTGGCGATGAGTTCATGGTTCTGTATTTGCCAAAATTATTGTTATTTACTATTTACTTCATAGTAATAAGTAAGAATAATTAAAAGGAAAACAGAAGTGCTCTTTTGACGTTGCGTTTTTGGTTCGGTAATTGTAATTTATTTATCCCCCACGCAGTATAGATGTCGAACGTTACTGAACGTATCTTTCCGGTTATTTAAAAAAATATCTAATGATAACTTTTCATGATAACTAGTAAAGTATTGTTAAAACAGACAGTTTAATTTTGTACGGTTTTATGGAATTAATTTGATCTTTTAATAAGTAATTTTAAACCGAGATCAAAGTCACATGCACATGGCAATCTTTTAATTTGAATTTGACGATCATTGACAAACTAACCTATTTTCTTTCTCTATAGCCAAGCCTTGTAAAGTTAAGGTGAATATTGAGAATAATCGTTTAAAAAATATTATAAATAATTAAAACAGTATGTTTAGAGTTGTTTTATGATTTGCTTCAAATCTTTTTTTTTTAATATTAATTCGAGACAATATTCTAGTTTTTTAAAGTTAAATATCGTGAGGCCACGTGCATTGTGTGTACGAGTAACATAAAACTTTTATTGCAGGCGTCAAGATGACGAATTCCAAGGGTTATCGTCGCGGCACAAGGGACTTGTTCGCCCGCAAGTTCCGAACACATGGAACCATCCCTCTTTCGACTTATATGAAAGTTTACAAAGTCGGTGACATCGTTGACATAAGGGTATGTAAGCTTACCAAATAAATTTGTAGGTTACCGTAAATTTACTTCGTCAAAAAACTGAAGACTGTGTTAAATTCACTTAGAAATACAAAAAGAAGTGTGTAATGATTGTTATTTTCTGTTTACATCGTAAAGATTGCTTCTGCTGTCAATACGAAGTGAAGTCTAAAGAGATTAATGTTTTATTTGTAGTTCCGGCTTTGATATCTAGTAACTTGTATTAAATAAGTTATTGAGAAATTCACTTTTACTTTATTTTCAGGGCAATGGCGCAGTTCAAAAGGGTATGCCACACAAAGTCTACCATGGCAAGACCGGTCGTGTTTATAATGTAACAGCACACGCTCTCGGTGTTATTGTCAACAAGCGAGTCCGTGGCCGCATCCTACCCAAGAGGATCAACATCCGCGTTGAGCACGTAAAGCACTCGAAGTGCAGAGAAGACTTCCTTAAGCGTGTGAAGGAAAACGAGAGGCTCCTGAAGGAAGCCAAGTCTGCCGGCAAAATTGTTAAGCTGAAGAGACAGCCTGAGCCACCAAAAGCAGCACACATTGTCAACGGTGCGGAGAAACCAATCTTACTGGCTCCTATTCCATACGAGTTTGTGGCTTAAGTTGGAATAAACTATTTTTAAGTATTATTGTCCTTTTATTTTCAAATTCCATTAATATATTGGGGTAGAGGTTTTTTAATATTTTGGACGCTTGGAGTATTTTTAATTGTTCGGGGGACATTAAGATCTGTAGATTACTGTGTATTATGCAGTTGCCAAAAAGATGAATGACATTTATTAAATAAATACAAAGTTACATTTAAAATAAATAGATGAAAAGATGTTTAAAGAATGAGTACAAAGTAATTGATGATAAAAAAAATGATTTTAACCCTTTGTATGTAGTTATATGTAGTATACCCCATGTAGTTGTGGTAAAATAAAACGAAACATTAAAGAAAATCACAATTTTTAATTTTCGAACGATTAAATATTTACAAAATGGTTTGTAATCTAAAAATTAAATCAAAGATTGGAATATTAGAATAATCTCAGTAACTTGTGCCGTATCAACGATAACAAACAAGGCTCAGTCCAACTCTCCGTCGACCACTAACTTACATATACTATGTATAAATTACTATAACTAGTGAAACTTAACAACTAGCGTCTCTGGACTGATAAAAGAGTATATATCCGGTTTCGGACGATTTCTGTAAGTCTGAAGTTAGGCCGTAGAAGTCTTCTATAGCGGATGCATCGATTTTCTGTAACAAGCAGAACAAGCAAAAATTAAAAATTTTATCAAAAGTAGTCAATCTATATGACTTATTGAATAAATGTAATGTAATCCAACCACTGAACATTTTTATTTTTATCAGACTTGACTCATAATACCAAAAGAAAGTCTAATTTTATAAATATCTAGTTAGACATTCATTGCCATCACTGTTCTGGTAAGTTCACTTTAATCCTTTAAGCCACAGAAAAAAAAAATTAAAACCTTGGCTTTGTGCAGTGCTTCACGGTTTAATAAGAAATGATAATAGCATGAAATACATTTGACAGTAATACTATTATAGTATAAAATACATACAAAGATAAGAGAAAGCAGATGCCCGACCCCCTGATGATTCAAATAATATCAAAACCACTATCTAAATATCATTGGCTGGCGTCGCCTATGAATAAAGTAAAGTAAGTTGTGGTTTTTATGTGTAAATGTATTAAAAGAGAAATAAATAAAAAAATTCAAATCCGCCATTTTAATTCTAACCACAGACAATTGTATTATTTTTAATGATGCTTACCTCCTGAATAATGCAAGTTTATATGTTGGCATATTACAAAGTATACTAACATCGACCATGTCGTCGTCGAAGAGCAGCCAGAAGCCGTGGCTCTTGACGATGCTGATGTAGTGTCCGCGGTTGGGGCCGGAGCCGCAGTGCACCACCACCGCCACCAGGTCGTACAGCCGGTCGGGGTTCACCGCGTCGTCCGACTGCGACAACACCAACATATAAACACTAGCTTTGGACAATCACTATGTAACCTAGGAATTATATGTATAGAATAGACGTAAAGAAAATTAAGCAATAGCACTAATGGCCCGTTTTCCAACTACATTTAAAACTTTGTTGATGTTTTTTCTTCAAAAACTTCATGAAATGCTTTTCCAAACCTAACTACGAATCTTGAGTTTTACTGTGTTCAAACTTTGGTCAACCTATCACAAATTAATCATTGGGTAATAAAATAAATGGAAACTTCAGAAACCCAGCATAAAAGTAGCAAAAGCTCTCTTATTACTTTTATTTGCAATGAAATGTCAAAACATTCAATCACTCATACGTAAGGTGGGTGGATGTTTGTTATTACCTATCTGAATAATGGCTGAAAAGATCTGTGTAATTTGTCACAGATGTGAAACACATGGAGAAGACTGCTTCCTAATTTTTTTAATTTCGCATATACGAAGGTAAAATGTTACTAATATTATAAATGCGAAAGTTTAGATGGATGGATGTTCGTTAGAATTTGTAGCCTAAACGGCTGAATAAATCTCGATGAAGTTCGACATTAATGTAGAGGATAGTCTGGAAGAACAGATAGGCTACTTACTTTTACTTTGAAAGCTAGTTAAAAATAAAATTGAACATTAACAATAAATGCGATACTCACAGTATTAAATAGCCTCAATTCCAACGGGAAGACAACTCTATGGGACACTTTGATGTGCCTGTTGTACTGTTCCATGTACTTGAAGCGCTTGAGGTGCAGCGCCAGGATGAGCGGCAGCTTCTTCACCCTCATCCGCTTCTGCGCCTCCTGGTAGCTGCTGCAGTTGTCGCACTTGAACTTGTTGTCATTGCACAGAGTCTCCGTGTCACTGAAGCACTTCAGACAATGAGTGATGCTCGTGTTCTGACCGACGTCCACCTGGAACACCCTGTTATTACCATACTAGTTCCTATGTGTTCCTCCACTCCATTAACTTTTAGTCATATGTTAAGTTTTATACTATCCTTCCCCCTATAGCTAAAAGTATGTAATATTGTACAAAGTAATTTGGAAATTCACAAAATTTTAATTCATTAATTTATGTTACAAGTGCGAAAATAAATACACATGATTTTCGATTTCACCTCTTTCTCTATGTTGTGATGTTTCGTGATTTTTTCTAAATCAAAACTCCTTGTCATAATTCAAATAACAAACGACCACTTAGTAACACTATTTTCTTTACACCAAATATAGTATGCAGCAAAGATTTTAAAGGTAATAAAATTCACTATAACATCAGAGAATGTATGATACTTTCATTTCTTATCTATTGAAAATTTCTAACATCACATTTCATAGTAAAATAATGATTTTTTAACTGAAAAAACTTCAGACCTTTACTTATCCTTGCAATCTATTACAAAAAAATTGACATGTTTCATAACAGAATGGTATACTTCACCTGTAAATCAAAGAAATGCTCGTCTTTACTGCTGACAGTCTCGCAATTGAGACACCTGGTCTCGCTGGTGAGGGTGCCCTGGAATATCTCGTGCACCCAGGTGGGCTCCGCGCTCTGCGGCACCGCGCCGTTGCACGTCACCTCGCCCCCTCCCTTCTGCACTTTTAATGTACTCTGGTTGCGTTCCGCTACAAGCAATCAACACAAACCTCTTGTTTACAGTTAATTTAACTATAACAAATTCATATAAAACTTGATTTTGTTTATATTCCATAAACCATTTGCAATGTAATGCTTAAATGAGAATAAATGACTTTGCAATTGGTTAACAATTACAACCAATTTACAATGGTTACCATAGCTACTTGCTGCTTTCCTGCAAATTGCAGATTTTGTGCCTTCTATCATGACACTTTTTTCTAAAATATTCTCTTCTTAAATTAAATAACTTAATAATATATAGAGTATAGCCTGTCGTAAGTATAAGGTATTTTATTAAAAATCTAATTATTAAAAAAGATGATGAGATTGAGAGACTTACCTAAAATAATTTCATTAATGTGATTTATTAAAAAATTTAGAAATTCATGCGCATCCTGTTGCATATAATTATCAAATTCCTCTGTAACAAAAAAAGAAGTTTTTACATAAAACATGTTTGTAAGGTACAGGATGCTTACCACAATTAGCCGGTGAAACAATATGTAGTAAGCAAATTCCTTACAATACGTTTACTTTATATTTATAGATTATGGTAACCTTTGCACAATCTGATGGATACTAAGTTGCCATATTCTTAAATACTTACCTTTTTCTTTCCTTAACCTAGCTATAAACTTCTTGGGCGCTATAGAACCCACTTTTTTCTTCTGTGTAGCAATGCTATAAAATAAATCTGCTAGGCATGTTAGTAATGTTTCTTTCGTTCTTTTATTTTTTGCCTTGTATTCAAGTACTTTCTCTCTAAAAGGCCGACAGAAGTATAATGCTTGCAACACTGAATTGCTATAGCAAGTGTTGCCAAACTGAAAAATAAAAACAGATAAACATTATGTATTATTACACTATTTAGACATATATAATTGCTTTTATTTGCACTTTTTCTTAAGTTGAATTACAATTTACAGTTAATATGTCAATATAGATAAAAAGGCTTGAAATTAAATAAAAGTAAAAGACATCTACAAGTTGTTACATAAAAGGTAATCTCATTTAAATTAACTAGGAAGTTACTGTCAATAAATACAACTTGTTCAATTGACAATCAAAGCACTTATAAGTACTCAAATAACAAGATTAACATCTTACATAACATTTCATTTTATATCACAATATAAATTACCATGAGAAAGACTTAAGAGGCTTGGAATTTTAATTCTATATTACATTAAAATTAAAGATAATTACATTTACTTTGTAAATCCGGTTCATTAAGTATTTTAAAAATGTGTAATACTATGAGTTTATGTAGTTATCTTGCTCCTAGAATTTTGTGCAGTTTTATCATATGATATACCATTGATTGACTTATCTTAACATCATATAGATAAGAAAATGCAAATTTAAAAAAACTTGCGTACAAGATTTATTATTTTAAAATGTGTAAACTTTAGTTATAAAGATACAACAGGCTTTAATTACACATGTAATGTTGAATATTACTACCTAACACTATTGCTAATGTCAGACATCTACAAATAAATTACATTATTAAATATAATACAAATACTTAAATAGAAGATAAATTCTTGTTTCTTTTTATATGATTAATTTAACATTCGCATCATGCATATATTGTTAATTTGATTATTACTATTAATTATTCTTATTAAAGTTAATATCTATTCTAATCAGATTATATTTTATGACTATTCACACCTTATGAAGTCATAGATCAGTATAATGTATGAAACATCATTATATAAACTATAAATTGGATCTTTGTAACTAATAGTACTTGCTTAGTTTAAACTTGGGAAAATATTTCATAAATTACTTACATTAACTAAACCAAAATAATGTTCGTTAGGTGGAAACTGCTCTGACCCGATATCTCTTTCTAACTGTGATATATTTGCGCCCTGAAAAAGAATTATTTGTACATAACGCCGACGCTTGTCTAACCGTAAATATAAACAAATAATAAAATTTTAACTTTAGCACATTTTCATCTAATACTGCGATTTATATAAAAATATTTAAAAATAGTAAACATGCTTTTTTATCAATAATTTAGACGTGTATACTCTTACCATTCTCTGTTGGAAATTAAGGCCGAGATCCTGACATATTGACATTTGCAATCTGTTTTTAGCGACTTCTTGTATGGAACACACAATGCAGCGAGCCAAAAATATTACTTATGTTATCACTGTTGTGTCTGAAAACATAATTATTATTTCTGTTGAAATTAAATTAACCTGAGAAACGAAAACGAAAAGTCAATCATGTTCTTGACAATCAATCAATTTTATGACAGTTTGTTTCCAGTTCTCGTGAAGGAAGAGCACAGATTATATCAGTAGATTCGCTATACCAGTTAACAGAAAAAATAGTTTAAAATAACAAGTAATCATTTAAACAACATTCGCAAATCAAAAAGTACATGAATTTTTAATTCTCGCTTCCGTATGTGAATCCTCTATGTAAGAATAGAACAATTTCACCGATGTTTAGGTGATTATCGTTCACATCATATTATTATAACAAGTAGATTTGTTAACGAATGTCTAAAACTATAATAAGACACTAAACATATTGCAGAATAAAATAATCAAAATTAATTAAAGACTTTATTTTTACTAGTTTATCATGTGGCAAAAACCTATGGAAATTAACTTCATGTAATGGCAACAGAAAAATAAACTTCCGGTATCCCAGTTAGTGGAATCGTAATCGAGATAAAGTCGATAGTTCGAGATTCGATCGAGATCCCTGTTTAGGAGTAGGGAACAGTCTATTCAATTTTCAATCTGTGCTCGAGACAGGAAGTTTACGTCAGGGTGCACAATCTCAGTACATTTAACTTGGAAATCCGAAGATAAAATACTGCAATATAACGGAGCACCTTAAATTTACTTTGATAATAGGAAACAGACTAATTTTGTTTTTAGTAGTATTATATTTGTTATATATGCGAACGTGCAGTAATAGATGGCTGTTTTACCAATAAAAAATTACTAGTTCAATTAATATACGATAGATGCCGCTATTTAGTAGCTCTTCTTGTAGTGTTTTTTTTAGTGTATTTGTTGAATGAAACCTTTTTTCAACTCTGATTTACTTCTTTTTAATTGTCACTTGTAATTCGATGTCAGTTCAATAAGTAAAATGTCTATTACATTTATTTATCGTTAAAGTACTCTGTATTATCGTTTAATTGAAAATACTCAACAGTATTTAGGTAGGTGCAGCCCTGGTTGTAAAGAAAGAGGAGGTATGTCTATTTCTATGTCTACTTACTTCAGAATATTACAGACTTTTATATAACACTGTCTCTATCCAGCAGTAAGACGTCTCCTCTCGTATAATGAGAATTTATAGCTATAGTCCACATCTATGGCCTAGTGCCTCTGTACATTGCCGGACTACTTAAGTATTTATTTGTAGTGTTTTGTCTTTAACATGTATTTGGTTCTTTCTCAACCATATTTATAGCAGTAAAGCAAAAGTAGTAAATTGTTACACTAATCTCTCTTAGACTTTTTTTGTACATTAAAGCATGCTTTTAATGAGTGCAATAATACTAAATAAGATGTAACCAGTAAGAAGGTGGCAAAATTTTATTTGGGCCATTAGTCTCAGATTTTAAATGTTATTGCCATATGGTATTACGGTTTTAGTCACTAGCCTTATTATTTTTTGTTAAAATAACAGATTATTATTTTAAGGTATGCATCAAGTACTACAACTTGTACAACTGATGTCACTGATGTTTATGTATGATTTCTCATCTCAATACGTACCGCGTAACACCATAGGATATATGAAATATGAGATTGTATAAAATGTGATTGTTGATACTTATAATATACTTGTTAACTATGTGAAGACAGTGTTTCAATAGCCCTACACCTCCAGAGCTCGGGACGGCAGAAAGTAACCGTCCAACAGTATCCTTTGTTTTTACTTCCTAATTGGTATAATGCACTATTTGGGTGGATATATAAATCTTTTCATTTACAACAGGTATAATATAGGTGTATAAATATTTAAATATCTATATTTCATAACATAGATATTTAGATATTTATATAACCTATATTATTATTTTAAATAACGCTCGTTTGCCCCATTTCATAAAAAAAAAAACAAAACAAGAAAGAAAGAAAGTTGTAAACTATGAAATACAGATGGCGCTTTTCTTCGTGTTACCCAATTTTAGGCCGAAGATTGGTCTCTATTTCAGTATGTTACAAAGTACTCTGTGGTTTACGTGTTGAAAATTGACGTGGCGGTCAATGTTTTATAGCCGGTGATTGAACTAATTTCTTTATTCCAGAACGAAATTAACTAGTAGGAAACGACCGGTACGTTAAGGCGTAATTTGTTATTTTTTAATTAGGATATTAAGCTAAATATATGTATTAGTAACTTGATTTTCCAGGCAAAATGAAGATAACATTATTTGTGGTTTTGGCTATATCAGCGGTATTTGCTGGTGTTCCTAGTCCCGAGGAAACTAAACGACTCATGGATCATCTTTCGGACCAAGAACATTTTAGGAATGAGCACCACAATAAACAGTTTGATCATGACGCGTTCCTCGGTGAAGATCAGGCGAAAACTTTCGATCAACTTCCGCCTGAAGAAAGCAAGCGGAGACTTGGGTAAGGTTTAATTTGATATCTGCTCCTTAGATACATCGTTCTATTTAAAAATTAATCGGTTATCTAACAATCTAAGTAGTAATTTGTTTGACCTAAATTAAATTGATAGCAGTACATTTACTTAAACTTAATACTGCATGTATATAAGTCAACCAACTTGCAGTGCGCCGGCATAGTTGCCTTGCCTCATCTACCCTATATCTATAACTTTGGTAAACTATGAGCCCATGGTTGAAACATGTGCATTGTAAGGACACACAGCAAGACCATTTTAAATAGAATTTAATTTTACCAGCAGCATTTACAATTAACATAGCCTTTCTCATTTTCCTATAAAAAAAAGGTGGGATTGGCAAATCTTATATGAATCTTATGGGGCTCAGTTAACTTATTAAGTGCATAATCTTGATAAGAAACACATGTACACATAATATGTAGGTTACACAAACAAGTAAACTGTGCTAATATAGACATTGCACATTCTTAACATGAAATTCCACTCTTGTAACACATGTTTTAATAGAATAATTATGAAATTAATTGTTATAATGGAATATTTCTCACATAATCCTGGTCTTTTGTAGTTTATACTAATATAGAAGATATTTCTATTTTTATATGCGACAAAAAACTAAAAAACTACTGGGGCAATTGCAAAGTTTCTTACTCCAAAGCTACATTATCACTAAGTAACAGGCTATATTTATTACTAGATTTTTGATTGCTGCAAATTGTGAGCAAGTAAAAAGCTATTAAAAAAAGTTTATTATTCAAGTATCATGAATCAAACTTATTAAACAGAGTACCTGTTTCTCGCGACTTCACCCACATGTAACTAAAAAAATATAGCCAATGTTACTGACATGTAAAGTACCTATCTAATGGAGAAATAACTTTTAACACCGGCCAAGTACTTTTTGAGTTATTTCAATGCATACAAAAATAAAAATCTTTCCGCTTTATAATATCAGTACAGATTATGTGGTACATAATTTCTCTTATGTTATTCACAATGCTGTAAGGTCAGCGACCTACTTATCACATTTTTAAATGAGCATGTTTTGTTCATACATTCTAGAATAATCGTTGACAAGATAGATACGGACAATGATGGATTTGTGACGCTCGTGGAACTGAAGGATTGGATTCGATACACACAGAAGCGGTACATCGAAGAAGATGTGGACAGACACTGGAAACAACATAACCCTGAAGATAATGATGTGCTGCCTTGGGAGGTGCGTACCTCTTTATTCTTGATTTTTTTATTTCTTTGTAATTTATCATGAGTGCCATTCTTGTAATTTATCATAATCGGAGAAGTTAAGCGTTTTAGTACAATTTATTAACAACTAGCTGTTCCCATGCGTTTCGTCTGCATAAAATTACAAAAATATCATTTTATTGTTTACATTTGTCAAATTATCAATTGCAAATTTCAAAATGATATGACATGATGTCAAACCATGGCTACCTTGATTCCTTGAAGTTGGCAACAACTCATGGTCTCTTTCACACTAGGGCTTTTATCCAAAATATTTACCCCTAAGTTTAATGACGCGAAAATATATAGTCTAAAGCGTAACAGAAGTGTAGGGCTTTTTATTACAAGAAAAGTTATTCAAAAATATGCTGTGACTACTGACATCTTAGGCAACAAAGAAGTGTGTTTTTATGCTTTATTATAATAGTATAGATTGGAAATTTGATCAGTTATGGTTTTTGTAGTTTATTCTTAAAGAACCTTAAGTATTTATAACTGTTTTTATGGTTTTGTAATCATTAAATCTGTTGTAATACTTGAAATAATACATATTTATATAATTACAGACGTACAGAAAGAATGTGTACAGTTTTATGGATGAAATGGACCAAAGAGAGCTGAAGACGCCCAACAGTGAAGGATTTACTTACGCCAACCTGCTGAAGAGGGATCGCAGGAGGTGGCATTATGCTGGTAAATTATTTTTCTTAGTATAATATTACACTTGGCCAGTAGCGCTCAACTGGACTAGATTGTATGGACTCACTGGCATTAGTGGCAGGCACAACTGTCCAACTGTATTCAGTGTTAACAGGGCATAAAAGCAAAATTACACATGCCAGTAATCAGTATACTGAGCTGGCATGAGAGCTAGTAGAAAAGTTTTATGGTTACTTTTTAATTTGAAGCTGTTCCTATTTACAAATGACAACAAAGGCCTTTGATATTGGGTAGCAAATACCGTTACCATGACAACCTAGCTTCCTTGGTGCTCGTAGTTAATAGTCCCTTTCCCATTTGAATTTATTTTTTTAATTTATTTACTCCCTAAGTTTAACAGTGTGAAGATGAAAAAAGAAAAAGTGCGTAAAATAAGAAGAAATGAGTGTCGTGTAGGGTTTTTTTTATTAAAAAATGATTATTCAAAAATATAGTGTTATTGTTGACAGTATTCACCAGGAAGTAGTGCGTTTATTATATTAGTATATAGATTGTAACATTCCCTAGCACAATTTTCGATGTTATTTCTAGTTTGTTATACTAATCCAAGTATATTCCAGATGGTGACCAGGATGATGCGCTAAACAGGACGGAGTTCGCGTTATTCCTGCATCCCGAAGACCATACTGGAATGCGCGATGTCGTTGTGCTGGAGACTATGGAGGATATTGACAAGGATAATGTAAGTTTTTATCTTACTAATGTTATAAATCAAGTTTGGATGGATTTTTGTTAGAGTTAGGTGGCTACAGCTTAAATTGGTGATATGTCGATGAAATTTGGCTTGGATATAAAAAAGTATGGAAGAACATATAGGATATTTTTTTAAATTTATGCGGACGGAGTCGCGGACGAGAGCTACTTTTTTATAAATTAGATTTTTTTTTTGTTAAACTCTAAAATAAGCTAACGTTTTGTGTAAAAATGGTTTTTGTGAGTTATGAGTTTATCATAGTTTGTATAAAGGTCTAGAAATTATCTTATTTTTTTTGTTGTGTCCTTTTCAGGACGGCAAGGTGTCATTGGAGGAGTACATCGGAGACATGTACAAGCCGGAGGATGGTGATGAAGAAGAGGAACCTGATTGGGTGAAGCAGGAACGTGAACAGTTCACCGGTTACAGGTATGATAAAATAAATTATTTCAATAAATATAATTTATTGCTTGCTACCTTAGGATATTGATTGATTTTAGAACATATAGAGGCTACTAATATATTTTGTAAAATTGTGAACGTAAAAATAGAAAACTTTCCCCTCTATAATATCAGTATAGAGTTATATAGCTATCTCTTTCCGTCCGCGTGGAATTAAAAAAAAACAAAATTTATTAGCCTATGTATCCCGACTTTTCACTACATCTATGCCAATCATGGAGATTGGTTCAGCAGTTTAGACTGCAAATTCTAACAAACGTCCATTTAGTATCTAGTGACTAGTATTTAGTAGCTAAAAAATTTTGGTATCGGGAGGGGGGGGGGAAATCTCCAAAAAAAAACCCATTCTTCGGGGGGAAAGACAGGGTTCTGTGAGTTTTGTACCCACTAAAATCCCCCGGTGGCCTCTAATGCAATAGAAGTGGGCTCCGAAATCTCTGTGGAACTCACCGGAACAGTATATAGTATCTAGTATGCACAGTAGAATCTCGATAAGTTAAAGACCAAGAGAAACACAATTTTTTTTAAGTTATAGAGGTTTTAATTTATCAAGGGTCTATGTTGTAGAGGTTTTAGGCTCTGATGGGAAGGGAACATATTATTTTTTGAAGTTAAAGAGGTTTTTAAGTTATCGAGGTCCTGTAATATTAGTAGATATATAAGGCAATGCGCACAGGGACACTAACAAGGACGGGTTCATGGACGAGGCGGAGGTGAAGGACTGGATCGCACCTCCGGAGTTCGAGCACGCGGAGGCGGAGGCGCGCCACCTCGTGTTCGAGGCGGACGCGGACGCGGACGAGAAGCTGACGCGCGCGGAGGTGCTCGACAAGTACGACCTCTTCGTCGGCAGCCAGGCCACGGACTTCGGCGAGGCCTTGGCCAGGCATGACGAATTTTAATACTGCAACTGATCTTGCCTTAATGAGGCATTTGCCTTTTCTATGTTAACTCACTGATGTGTAAGTTTAACCCTTAAATGCATAATTATGCATTTATATGTCAGTCTTCTTTACACAATAGACTTTTTTCATTATTTTTACTTAATCTATATTTAATTTACTACCTGTTTCAATGTATGGTATTTAAAAAAAAAAAAAACATGCCTTTAAGGATTAAACTATCGTGGTTTTCACAAATGTAATGTTTGTTGAGTTGAGTTTTAGCTCCCGATTTTAACACAGTTTCAAGAAATCGATATATTACTAACATTAAACTCAATAATGCCTCAATGTAGTTGAACAAGTTTTTAAATTTTATTCATCTCTATTTGCTGATGCCTCGGTAAGACATCTTAAGTTTTAGCTGTTTTTTATGTAAACTTAATGCCTCAGCATAGTTGAACGAGTTTTAATTTTATATGTAAACTCAGTGGTGCCTCGTTGAGGCATCTTGCCTTTTAACTGTTTTTAAATACATTCAGTAATGCCTCTGTGTAGTTGAACGCTTTTTATTTCTGATTCGGTGATGCCTTAATAAGGTAAATTAAGTTTTTTTATTAACTGATTTATAGAGATTTAATTTAACCAGATAGGGACAGATTTTGAAGTTTTTATTTCTTTAAACTCTTATTCTGGGTAAATTTGTTAAATAACCCCTTTTTTGTAACATTGTAATTTGGCAACTGTTTTGTTTTCTTTAAAGATATCGTTTTTCTGCACAACATTGTTGACTGTTTTTAAAAATATAATGAAAAAAAATCGGTCCTAAGGTTTATGTATTCACTTTGCCAGTTATTGTAATTTAGATGTAAACATGTTGGATATCTTCAAATTTTATTTCTATTGTAATTATTCATTTATGTTGAACATTAATCTTATGAAATGTGTTCAATTACTAATTTTAAATGAGTCTCTTCAATTTCGAATATTGTAAAATTGAATATTTTTATTCTACCTGCCATATTAGTCTAGAATCTCTAAGCAAATATTGTTTTAAACATTTTTATATACGTAGTTTCTAATGATACCAAAGCATTCTCTTTTTTTATATAATTTTCGTAATTGTCCATTTTTTGCTATTTTTCAATTTTTACTACTCTATTGGATTTTTCCATAATTGATTTTTTACGTAATTGATGGCATTACTTAATTTTGTGATATTTTTGAGCCATTTATTTGACTAATTTTGTATTTGAATAACATTTTAATAGTGTTGAATGTTTTTTCAAGTTTTTTTAAACAATGTATTATTTTATGCATTTGATAGAATAACTACTAATATAGTAAGTAAAGGTAAAATATATTTTATGATGGCAACAATATTTTCATGTTTAATCTGTATTTTTGTATTTTTAAACTATTAATTTGTTTAGCGTCAAGTACAAGTACATAGGAATTGCTTATGTTCTAGTTAGAATAATAAATGGTCTTAATAAAAATGTTGTTTTATTTAAATAAATAGCTTAACTGAACTTTACCTACTACGAATACACCACTGATCTATACTAAATAGATAGGTTGTTTGGAAATTACTGCTTTTGCTTCGTTTTGATTTAATCGCGTCTATTGATTTATAAACATTTTAATTATATAATGCACTGCTAATAATCGTAACTGCCAGCGCCAAAATGATGAAAACAAAATATTCGCAATAGCTTGTCTAGATCTAGGGAGGATCTTTTTTAAAGAAAGGGAACGCTAATTAGCAAGTATTTTTTTTTGACTTATCTATATGGATCTTAGATTTTTCGATTGTTTAGGTGGTCAACTTACCTCCGCTACAGCTCCCCCAACATCCAGTTATTGAAGCATCTAATGTTGTATTAACTATCTTAGTACCTATAAAAGACGACAAGTAAACATTCCAGCCTTTTCTTAAGACGAAACATAAAGTATTTTATTAACATTTGATAAACGAAGAGCCCGACTGGGGATATATCGGCAGTCAATAAAGTCATGAGGGAGGCGAGGTATAGACGCCATCATATAACACTCGCCGGCATATTTCTCCTCGCGTCGGTTAAGCCACTCTTATTTACTGATATTGATACAGGCCCCGTCGAAATGACAATTACGCGACGCGTATATTTCACGTAAGGTAAGGATGTAAAGATACTGGAAGTGACAATTTGTAATGAATATCAATGGTTTGGTCGTAGTCACATTTTATTAAGGTCGGCTATAGTAGTAAAAGGGTACGACGACCGCAGAACAGGCCACTGCATGAACGGGGTATCTAGTTGGTAAGTGCCACTTCTTATTTACAATATTACGCCCCCAGTACATGTGCAATGTAACTGTAGGTTGTTCCGCGGGATCCAAACACGTCTTGTACAACACATAAGTTATACTTAAAATTATATAAATAAATTGGAACTGTTACACAAGCTTAGAAAACAGTAGTTTGAGCCAGTAACTCTTCCATTGTAGGTACATCTTTGGCATCAATACGCGACACGAGAACGAATTTCCCTCGAGCGCAATCCACAACAAGCCGCGAAGAAGAATAACTGAGTGAATGCAAAATGAATATTATCATACAAATTTTCTTTCCTATATGAACTGGCGTTATGTCGTGATGTAAGTATGCAAAAATATGGAACGACTCCTTTGCCTTTCAAATGTTAACGCCGTGTAAGAAAATATTTGTTTCGTCGGTTTTTACGCGGCGTAATTTCGTGAGCGCGTAATTTGCATTTATTACGCGAGTAATGCACGTAAATAACGTTGTCGTATCTTGTTGATCACGTTTATTATCTGCGAATGAATAATACAGTATGTGTCTCCTTTTTGTCAATTTTGACGAGGAAATAGAAGCCATAAAAATTAATGTGATGATATTTTTTTTGTGAAAATTATTATTTACAGAGGGAATGGTTTCCAATTTAATACAGTAGCAGAGATAATAATTTGATCAATGGTTAACAAATTTAATATTTCAATACTGGCACAGGACAAAAATTGAGTTTTTTCAATGTATTCAATAAAGCGCTACAGTAGACTTTAATAAGGAATGTAACAGGAAAATATTTTGAAAAATGTCTGAATATTTATTAAGAAAAGTTAAACATCTTTTTCTTTGTTAAGATCGCGTTAATCAACATTTTGTATGAAATTCCGGGCATCATTAAATATTAGAGATGTCTGTTATATCTGAAATGACGTCAAAGTGATACAGGTTATCTTACTTCTTACTAATATAAATGCAAAAGTTTGGATGGTTGGATGGATATTTGATGGAGTTTGTTGCCTAAACGCATGAACAGATCTTGACGATTTTTGGCATAGATGTATAAGATAGTCTGGAAGAACATATACTACTCACGTTTTTATCCTTATCTCGTTTGGCATTACAAACGACGATGTTAAAATCACAGATGTACTCAGTATTAGGGTTTTCGATTTCCAAAGCTTTTGTCAGATGTGCGCCGATTCGTTATTTCCATTAGCTAAAGGCCACTTATTTCACGAGGGATGTCACTTTTGTGTCGTTAATTACACGGTTGATATGAAAAAGTCGAATTGAAAAATATTAGAGAAGTCGTTTCGTCGAAAAGGTTTAAGCACTTGACTTGTAATCTACAGGTCTTGGGTTCGAATCCCGCCGCCATGTACCAATGTGATTTTCAATTTTTTCGAATTTTCATATGTACATAATTTACCCGACGTTCTTACGGTGAAGGAAAACATCGTGATGCAACCTGCACATATCAGCGAAGAAATTCAAAGATATGTGTGAAGTCAACCAACCCGCACTTGGCCAGCGTGGTTGACTATGGTCTAGTCACCCTAACTTTAGGGTAGGCTCCGAGCCCCTTGGTGGGGTCGTATAGTGAGCTGGTGATGATGATGATGGTGATGAGAGAAGTCGTATTATTTTTTATGTATGCTGAAGTTATTTGTAATAATAGATTCTTGGATTTTAAACTTTGTTTATTAGTCACTAAGCGAGACTTTTAATGTAGATTTCTAAAATAAGGGACTACTTTACTAATCTCAGTTTAAGTGTAGAAGGGTTTGGTTAATTAAAGATTATGTCCTATTTTAAATAATGTGTAAAATATAGCTGACCTGTTCAATCAATTACATGATGATGTACATTTAAGCAATAATTAATCAACTTTTTCATTGTTCCTTTGTGTTAAACAAATCGATTGGGCGCCAACGCCATTGTGTTGAGCAGTCAGCGCCCTCTATGAGGCGGGAGCGCAACTGCAAGACAATGGACGTTTCAGCCGCCCAAAGGTTATTACACAGCATTACTTGATCATTGTTTGTCTGTTTTAATTTTTATAATGTGAAGAGGAAAATAAATCAAATCCTAGGCATCATTATCTAGAATGAGAGATTCGAATTTTTTAACCATAGGTTTCTAACTAAACAAGATCTTTCTATCGAAAGTCTAAAATCAAAATGTAGCAAACCATGATTGGATTTCTTATTTGTTTTTAATTTTGGAATATTACGAAGAGCGATATCTGGCAATATCGCTCGCTATCTACCTATAAATACAGATAATATATCGAAAAAGTCATTCTTTTATCTGTGTCAGAACAAAAGACAATCGAGTAATTCGTCTTTTATTAATGCCGAGCGGTCTCTCCCGTTGTTAGAGAACAAATGGTGGGAACGATCAAACATTAATTTCTTATATTAATTTTCTGAATTGAAGAGCGAATTTGATGAAGAAAAATACAATAAAACTACTGTTATCTATAAAAGTGATGGAATTTTTAATTTCAATACGCTGAAAAAAAAATAACACTGTAAAGAAAGATAAAAAAATACTAAGGAATAAGTTTTTCACTTCGGAGAACGCTGTCATGTACAGAGGGAAAGTTTAGTAGCAATTTTTGACTTAATCTTAAGAAAGAAACAAGTTGTTGGCAAGTCATTAGAGCGAGTGAGTCCGGGCGGATCTCGCTGACTTAAATTTAATTTTATTCCGTGTCTCGTGACTTACTTTGGGCGTTTTTTTATCCATTAATCCATCGTTGTCGCTGTAAAAATATTCTACTTAATTTTATTTACTACTCGTTTTCTGCCAAAACTCCGTCCGCGTGGAATTAAAAAAGTAGCCTATGTGTTCTTCAGACTGTCAACTATATCTATGTCAATTATTCAGATCTGTTCAGCCGTTTAGGCTACAAACTCTGACATCCATTCATTTTACCTTTCGAACTTATTCTATTAGTAATAAAATACTTAATTAGCTACGCAATAGGGGCATTTACTGAAAATTCTTATATTAAATTAAACTAAAGAGTTACAGTTAAAAAAATTAAATTATCGTTTTGTTTAATTTTATCGAGCGAAAATTTGTAGGTATAATTTTAGTTACATCACATACGAGTACTATCTAATCATATAACAGTAAAGTTTTAGAATTTAGATGTCGTCATCCTGGTCTGGGATCTCAATCTATAACATAAAGGTTTTATCTTTGTTTTTCGAAGTGATTAAAGGGAACATTGATGTAAGGAATGGAAATACATTGACACTAAAATTGGACAAAAGACTGTCACAACTTTCACGTGATACAAATGGCAATTGTATGTGCTTTACTACACGAAATTCGAGCCGCGCTATATTTTCATATT